CTAAAATGTATCTGCAATTTGCCCGTTTTTACCCCCCTCTACCCCCCCTATTGACATTTTTTAATTTTTATTTTTTTAGAAATGTAGAGCACGTTGAGCGAAATCGAATGCCGTTTGAATTTTGAAAATCGGCCCGTTAGATCTCGAGATATCAAGGGGGGTCGTAAACAGCCCCCCCCCCCCCCCTGCCACTAGTAGGGGTAGCCAGGAGCCTGCCACTAATAGGGTTAAAGGGGTTTATGTACAAACCTTATAAAAGCTTAACATCACAAAAAAGGTACTTAAATCTATGTCGGGGAGCCAAGGCCATCCGATTATTTTCAAATACAACTCCTGCTTCGGCTCCGTCTCCAACTCGGAGCGAAATTTTCCAACGGCTCCAGCTCTGCATCCCTGTTTGTATGATTTGTAACGTTTGATGGCACAAAATGAAATAACACTTCCACGTGACGCCGTTCGGCCGATGTAATTTGACCGAGGATTTCCTTAAATCCGAGTGTGTCATGCCACTTTAACCCTAGAACGCCTAGGGGGGGGGGGTTGTATCAACCCCCCCCCCTGAGGTTTTTTCGAAGTGCACGCTAAACGGCTTGTCGTAGCGGGCTGAAATTTTCAATACCCTCTGGGGCAACCTTTGCGCATCTTTTGCCGAAAAAAATTGATCGGGTCATGTCAGGTCACGGAGTTATGACGTCATAAGAGGTACAGCCTCCGGCCGGATTTTCACAAACTGAGTGCCAACGCCCGAGGTTTCCTGCCGGTGGTACGGACATCGGTTGATGGATCGTGATGAAACTTCCCATGCATGTTGGGGCAAGTATTGGCTATCATATGGTATAAGAAATTTGACCGGGTCAGGTCAGGTCACGGAGCTATGACGTCACAAGAGGAACAGCGTCCGGTACTATTTTTGAAAAGCGCCCGAACCACTATTTTGCTAATTCTTGTCACCTCAATGGGAATATGCAGCAATATTAGCTTCTATAGGGAGCAAATGGACCTCCCAAATCCAAAAATTCAATCAGATTTCAAAAATTTAAATTTTGATTTTTCGAATTTCTGCCGCCGACTGTGACCTTACCGACTTCCGGCGCTCCCAACGCGCCATTTTTAGAGCTAGGGAAACGAAATACATACCAAACGATAGAGAATTGATCAAGGAACACGATAGTGAAGGTTTCAAGTCGATATCTCCCACCGTTTTGCCGCAATCGCCGCCGAAAGTTGAAAAAAAAATATTTTTCCGAAAATTTGACCTTTGACCGGTCAAAAGTAGGTCAAATGTTGACCTAGGACCAAAAAATATACCACCAATCGCGAGATCTCGTTGAGAGCAATCCGTTGGTTTTTTCCGCTAAGCTCTACGACCTTCCGTTTCGAAACGCCAGGGGGGGGTCGTAACAACCCCCCCTGGTCGTTCGTGTTATGAGAAATGGCCTGGTCGTGCGAGGGTTAATGCGAAATAACTCAGCCCTGTCCGCTGGATAATGTTGAGGTCGGTGCTCCTTTTACGACAGACGTCACCATGACTCAGGCGGAATCTGGTGCGGTCGATCAGGCTACGTCAGCTACTGAAATGTTGATGCTAAACCCAATCAAGCAGAATCCAATGCCCCGCGTGGTTTGCGAGCGATGCGCAATATTTCATACTTTCTATAGGGTTTCCAGCTTTGGGTTCCTGATTGCAACTGTACTGTCGACAAATCGCTCAAGCTTTACTATCAATGAGGTTGTTGAGCCTTGAGGAATCAGGAGAAAGATAAGAATGTAAAGGAGAAAGATGCATGTCACTCATATCAGTCACTCATGAGAGCGCAATTACAAATAAAAACAAAGGCACGCTTTTTTTTTGTTCTTTTTTAGCCTGAACGAAAACTGTCCTCCCGCGAGATCCTGTCACATTTAACATTTCTCAATCTTTTCGTCACTCCTATCCTCCGATTTAATCCATCCTCTTCAGTTTCTCACCCCTCGACAAGCGGCGACAGCCGGCGTAAACGACTCGCCGCGTGGTGGCGTACCTTTCGGGGCTTCGAGCTGAGGGTCGTTCGAACGCCACATTCCACCTTAATCGTCCACCTGTATCAGTGGAACGCCGCCCCGGTGTCAGCGGCAGCATGGCGGGGGCGGCGGCGGGGCGGCGGGGGCGGGACGGCGGGGGGGGGATGGTCGGCGGCAGAGGGGGCGTGAGGATGACGGGACTGGTGGGGTTGGCTGCGGAGTAGTAGAGTAGCGAGGTGAGGGGATGTGGAGAGCTGCAGTACACACCCGACTTGTAATGCAGCAGCTCTGCTGTTTCAAGATGCTCAATCGTTGTCTTGCCTCATCGCACCCGTGAACGTCGCATTCAGGGGCCCACATGGACATTACATGCAGAGAGGCTTCCCGCATCGCCTTTTGTTCTATCTGGATCCACCTCCAGCTTTTCACACTTTCGGTCTCTTCACGTTCGGCTGGTCGCCAAGAAGGATTAAGTTCCTCTCCGCTGCAAATATGTTCTGGATTAAATCAATATTTTCTACTTCTAGGCTCAGCGTGCCGTTTCAGTGAAGACCGAAAATTTCAAATGATAATGAGCCATAGTTACGGAGCGAGCGAAGCGAGCGGAGTCTAAAGGCCTGGCTACACTATGCGTTTTCTGCGTGCGTTTTTGCAGGTTTGCGTGTTTTGCGTAATATCGTTCTACGAAAAAAGTTATAAACAATATAATTTTTACTTTGGTTATATACAAAAGCTAATATAACTCTTATGTAACTAAAATTTAAGGTGAAAAACATCACAAAAACGTAATATCGTTCTTTTTTCCAGAACGATATCACGCAAAACACGCAAACACGCAAAAACGCACGAAGAAAACGCATAGTTACGGAGCGAGCGAAGCGAGCGTAGTCTTTCCTTAGATTAACGGAAATTTCTGAGTATGAGCGGCCGGCCGGCCGGCCGGCCGGCCGTGCGGACGCTTTTGCGAGGCTTATATCTCAGCAACCACTTGACCGATTTACATGCGGTAATTTTTGTAGGGTAGCTTCATTCCTTCTACCAAGTATTGGACTATTCCCGATGCATGTGGGTGACCCCTTATGCACGTGCCACGTGCAAAACGAAGAGGTGTCACTTTTGTAATTGTTGCAATATCTCGGTAACTACTTGGCCGATTGCGCTGAAAGTTGGCATGTAGGTAGGCACCCACTAGGCACTGCATATCCATGTGCCAGAATTGGCGTGCTGCTGCACGTGCGCACGTGCAGGGGTCGTTTCCAGATCTCGAGAACGGCTGGACCGATGGCGGTCAAATTTGGTACACGGTTAGGGACCAGCTAGTAGGGTGCCGTGCACAAGTCAGTTGGGACCCATTTTGCACGTGCGCACGTGCAGGGTGCCGCTCCCAGATCTCGAGAACGGCTGGGCCGATTGTGCTCAAATTTGGCACATCGCTAGAAACCGGTCAGTAGGTTGCCGTGCACAAGTCAGTTGGAGGTACCCCCTCGAAATTTCGCACGTGCAAGACTCACCCCCTCGCTCGCTCCGTTAGTCGCCCCAAGAGGCGCTATACTGGTGTAGCCAGGCCTTTACGTAGAATAACGGAAATTTCTGAGTATGAGCGGCCGGCCGGCCGGCCGGCCGGCCGGCTGGCCGGCCGTGCGGACGCTTTTGCGAGGCTTATATCTCAGCAACCACTTGACCGATTTACATGCGGTAATTTTTGTAGGGTAGCTTCATTCCTTCTACCAAGTATTGGACTATTCCCGATGCATGTGGGTGACCCCTTATGCACGTGCCACGTGCAAAACGAAGAGGTGTCAGTTTTGTAATTGTTGCAATATCTCGGTAACCACTTGGCCGATTGCGCTGAAAGTTGGTATGTAGGTAGGCACCCACTAGGCACTGCATATCTATGTGCCAGAGTTGGGGTGCTGCTGCACGTGCGCACGTGCAGGGGTCGTTTCCAGATCTCGAGAACGGCTGGACCGATGGCGCTCAAATTTGGTACACAGTTAGGGACCAGTTAGTAGGGTGCCGTGTACAAGTCAGTTGGGACCCATTTTGCACGTGCGCACGTGCAGGGTGCCGCTCCCAGATCTCGAGAACGGCTGGGCCGATTGTGCTCAAATTTGGCACATCGCTAGAAACCGGTCAGTAGGGTGTCGTGCACAAGTCAGTTGGAGGTACCCCCTCGAAATTTCGCACGTGCAAGACTCACCCCCTCGCTCGCTCCGTTAGTCGCCCCAAAAGGCGCTATACTGGTTGTATTTTGCGTCGCACTTGCCTGAGGTGGATGAACCGTATCACTCACTGGAGTCATTTGACCATTCTGTGAACAAATTTACCTCATTCATCACTAGTCTTGTCCATTGCTGTATCGTCTACGTGCCGTCTCCGAATAGTCTTCGTTCCGTCTCACTCCCGTCTCCATGTTACGTCTCGTTTTCATCACACGCCTGTTTTGCTTGTCTCCTACTCGTTACGTCTCTTCCCTACCCTCTCCCATCCCTTTCCGTTCCATTCCGTGCTGTTGCGTTCCGTTCCATTCCGTTCCTTTCCGTCCCATAACCGATCCCTCTCCGTTCCGTCTCCATGCCACGTCTCGTTTTCATCCCACCTTTGTTCCTTTTGTATTTAACTCGTTACGTCTGTCCTCTCCCATCCCTTTCCGTTCTGTTCCATCCCTTCCCTCCCATCCGTTCCGTTCCATCCCTTCCCTCCCTTCCGTCCCTACCCGTCTCGCTCCTCTGTCCCGTCTCCGTCCATCACACATCTGTTTAGTTTGTCACCGTCCCGTTTGTCCCCGTGTCGTTCCGTCCGTTCCCCTCTCCTCTCCTCCCTTTCCATCCCTCCCGTTCCGTCCCTCCATCTGCCCCGAATGTCGTGACCGGCGGGCCGCCAGTAGCCACGAGGACCCCGGGCCGGCTCGTCACTAGCCGTTTCGTATCGACCGACTGCGCGGCGGCGGCGGCGGCGGCGGCCGTCGGACCCCGCCGCCGCCGCCGCCGCCGCCGCCCAGGGAAACAGTGCAGCCCGGCCGCCCATGCCGCAGCGCGGCAGCTAGGTGCTGCGGGGCGGCACTGCCGGCTCGGGGTCAGGTCAGGTCAGGTCAGGTCAGTGCGGGGTTGAAGGAGGAGTTCCCGTGCTGGTGGAGGAGGGGGAGAGAAGAAAAGAAGAGGCGAGAAGGTGTCCTGGCGTCCGACCCTGCTGGCTTGTCTGGAGCTTTGGTAAGCATTGTAAGTTATCGGGATGGGAGAAATGCTTTCTTTCTTTTGTGTGGGGTAAGTAATGAGGCAATAATATGTATAAGATACTAAAGCATGGTGCTTTGTTTCATCTAAATTGACTTGAAGTGAATATCTATGTGTTTTTGTTGTCAAATATTCAATGATTTTGATTTTGCTCTTTGGTAATGGATGTTGAACGAATTTTCACAGTCTCTCATTTTCGATTTTAGAGCGAAAACACGGCAAAATGGCATGCGAATTCCTTCTGCGGTCCCATTACATTATCCTGCCAGTGCGTATTATAACATTTATGTCAAAATTAACTCTTTTTATGATTTGCAATGTAAACAAATGATTCAAAATTTGCAAACAAATGAGCTTATCAAATACGAATTTCAATACGCAGCGTTCAAAATGAGCAATTCTGTTCAAGGTCGTCCAGTGAAATGGTAAACATACATTGGAACTATATAGATAAATTGCGAACTTTCATGAAAAAGAAATCGAATAAAATGTATGCAGCCAATTCATAGGAGGTAGGCGGACAGCATTTGTGAAAATATAACTCTTGAATTTGGCCTCGGCAAATGAGAAAAACAAAGAAAACGCTGGAAAACTTATGGTTACATTTTTCGGCAAAGCAAAAGCTTGAATCAGGGCGGGATATTTTTGTAATTGTGATATTTTTGCGGACGAATTGTTTCTCCCTTTCCAGCGATCAGTGTTACTTTTTATTCGCTGATGATGGAACATAATTACGAGCGAGCGAGCGCAGCGAGCGAAGCGAAGTCTTTTCAATATAACGGAAAAATCTCAGTATGAGCGGCCCGGCCCAGCCCGGCCCGGCCCGGCCCGGCCTGTAACGCTTTTGAGAGGCTTATATCTCAGCAACCGCTGGACCGATTGGCCTGCGGTCTTTTTTGCTGGGTAGCCCCATCCCTTCTACCCCGTAATTGACTACTTCTGATACATCTCAGTGACCGTCGTGGCACGTGCCACGTGAAAAGTCAAGGGTGTTCAAGCAGTTTTGCAAAAGTAGTGATTTTGAGAGGCCCATATCTCAGCAGCGGCTTGAGCGATTGTCTTGCGGTAATTTGTATAGGGTAGCTGCATCCCTTCTACCAAAGGTCGGATGCTCTTGATCTATGTGAGTGACCCCCACTGCACGTGCAAAATACAAAAAGAAGAGGTGCCAAATTTGTTCCCATTTCAGTAACTCGGTAATTACTGGGGCGATTTCGTTGAAACTTGGCATACAGGTAGGCACCCACCAGGCAATGCATTCCCATGTGTTGCGGTTAGGGTGCTACTGCACGTGCGCACGTGCAGGGGGCGTTTCCAGATCTCGAGAACGGCTGGGCCGATTGCGCTCAAATTTGGTACACGGTTGGGGACCGGTTAGTGGGGTGCCGTGCAAAAGTCATTTTGGACCCCGTTTGCGCGTGCGCACGTGCAGGATGCCGCTTCCAGATCTCAGGAACGGCTGGGCCGATTGCGTTCAAATTTGGCACACCGCTAGCGACCGGTTAGAAGGGTGCTTTGCACAAGCCCGTTGGAAGTACCCTCTCGCCCTTCCGCACATGCAGGGCTCACTATCTCGCTCGCTCGTTCTTCGCCCAAAAGGCGTTTTACTGGTTTTATTTTTTTGTTGTTGTTGCACAATCTTTCCGTCTATCCACTAGTGAAAACGGATGAATTTTGTTTATCTTCTTGCATCCGCCAACTGAATTTTTCCGTTATTTGCACATTCTATGCCGGACCCTTCACGACACGTTGAAGCATTTATATTGCCTCCAGTACCTATAAAAAGGAATGCGTTCATTAGAGTGAGACAAGCACATTCCATTCCACTCTTTCTGTTAACAATCAGACCCAGCTCTTTGCGACGACCTTGGTAAGCAACGTTATGTAACAATATTGCACTTTTATTTGTCTTTAACATTATATGATGTGCATATTTGAATGCTCTCCCGTTATTGTGTCCAGTATGAGATGAAACCAGCTCAACTCCTATGGACAGGAGGCATGTGTAAATGTCGCTTACTGACTGGCATCGCAGGAACATAAAGCGAACACGTCATTTGGTGATTGCAGCAGAAATCAAATCCGATAAATCTGCTGGGCAAGCGTGCAGTCTCCAACTCAGATTGTCTCCCTCAATCATCCAGCAAGATTCTCTGAGACGTAATAAAACTTATTAACGTCTGCTTCGGTCCCCAGGCAAATGATAGCCAAAATATTAATTTTTGAAACTTGCAACGCTGTTTTGGGAGACGACTTAGTTTTTCTCGGCAAGTGTGGTCCTAATTGGAAGTGTTTTGCCGTAACGTAGCGTGGTAAGCCGTCATGTCCCAACCTATCCCAGCAGAAAATGGCGTCTGCCCCATGTCGCCGTCTGGTTAAATAGCACGAAGACACGATGACCCCACGGGACACTACCTCTACTGAGGTCACGCAGTCGAACCCGGAAATGAAAACATCTCGTTAGGGTAACGATGTCGTCTCACGGCGCACAGGGAGCAATCGAACCCAGCGAACCTTGGTCTCATCTGATGGTGTGAAACTTCCAATGCGCCGAGAGGAAATACATAGTTCCTTTATACCGTAAATAACATGTTGGGCAGACAAATTTCATATGAAATGCTTATTCAAATATATACACTTTTTGCTCATTGCAGGTTTTGAAAAATGTGTTAATGCTGCTTTATGATGACGGGAAACGAAATGCAGCTTTTTTTTGGCGAACGACACCACCCTCGCTGAATGTGATCGGTAGATTTTTTGTTGGTGGGACACCAACAAACTGCTCAGCTTACAAGCAATGGCAGCTGATTTGGTAATTTTTGCAGGTCATCATTTATGAAACTGAATTTGTGAACATCGAGCATAACTGGGTTGTCCAGTTGTTACTTCCCCAAAAATATCAAAGGTCCTGCCCAGCAAGGCGTGACAAATCGAAGCTAACCTATGAACCTGGCCATTCTCATCGCCCTACCAATCTTGTCGGAAATGCTCGTGCAATAATCGTGCTTGTGCAATAGAAAAATTACTAACATTTTCAATCGTGAAAATGCATGAGCTCAATGCAACGAGTGATCAGTGTTACTACGTGCATATTCAATGACATTGGCGTGCAATATCTGCATACACCACTGACAGGCGATCTGTTATTAGATCTATCACTCGCTAACCGCCTGTAAGTGCCCGAGTCGTAACTTTGTTACCCACACATCTGCGCAGCTATCATGCTAATATTTCCCGTCAGGCCACACGTGTCTTCCTCCCTCTCACTCTCCTTCCCTCCGCTCTCCTCTTTCTGCCTACCTTGGTCGCCGTTCCAGGCTTCAATCTGGTCTGACGTGATTGCGTTAGGCGGAGTAGGGAGTGTCGTGCGGCGCTGGGTCGCCGGTATAGGTCACAGGTCAGCCGGCCGCCTGGAACTTTGTGGTGCAGGTGAACTTTCCAGCGCGGTGGTCAGCTCGACGCTGTAGAGGTGCCGTGTTTTGGTTCCGCGTCGGGCGTCCACTTCTGAGTAGTATGGCAGTGGAGCGAGTGGCTAATGTTCCAGTAAATTCATCCATCCATACGTTTTTTTCATCCGTTTTCAAAGGTAAATCATCCATTTTGTGAATTGATCTGCCTTCCTGTGTTGCCCTCTGCCGGTTGCGTGGTGTCGGCCTCGGTCGCGCAACGAATGCTCTGGGTCGACATTCAATGTGCTGAAATGCTAATGGTGACAAAATTGGATTTCAGAGACGGAAAATTGCCTTAGGTAGTTGTTTCACAAGCGCTTGGAAACATCGTCTCTAAAAGAAAGCTCCAATAAAGCTCTTGTCGCGCAATGTCCAGAGTCCATTCTTTCATGTATCATGCTAAGCTGCATGCTCCTGCTCCTATTTCCTTCTTTGCCTTCTTCTTTATAATTTTCCCATCCGCTCTTCTCTGTTAATCCCCTATCTCTTCGCTCTGTCCTATACCTCCCCTCCTCTCTCTGCTTTATCCCCCTGCTCTTTCTGCTCGTCCGATCTGCCCGGCGGCCTGATTCTGTCATGAGCTGGCTGACCAGCCTGAGGCTTATCGGCCGGACAGGGGGGGAAGGGGGGCTGGTCGGATAGGGGCGACATGCTGAGCCTTCCGGGGTTAACCGAGCGTCTGATGTGAACATGAGGTCCCTCGTCTACCGTCGACCCGTCGACGCCGACAGCCGTCCGTCCCGTCACCGCCAGGGCGGAACAAGTGTGCCGTACCGGGCGAGCCACACAAGTGTCGCTGACCGGCGCTGGTGCAGATCGATTCACGCCAGTGGGTCTTGGCGGTGGCGTGGTGCCCCCCCCCCGGGTCCCCTCCCCCTGCGGACTGATCAGCCCTCCCCTCCGTCCGCCGGCCTGGCGTTGCTGTGCGGCCGACCCGGCTACTGGCCAGGGCAAGAGGGAGAAGCGATAAAAGCCAAGGATATAGGTGTTGGTTGTGGAAATAAATGACTTTAAGGAAAGGCGCCACAGACAGTAATGTAGCTCAGTGTGGTCTGCTGGTATATTGGCATTATTTTTCTCCGTAGCGATCCCTTGGGAAGGCGTTTATCCCCGTCCCTGTCCTGCCGTACAGACCGACATCCTGTCCCAAGGGAGCTGATCCAGGACAGCGCCGTCCGTCAATGCTAGTAATGATGACTGATCACTATTCCTTTGCGCTAGTGGTTTTAACATATTTGTTTCTATCACGGTGCTTTTACCAATTCCTTTTCGTGAACAGCTCTGCGCTCTTATCAGTGTCCTGATTTTATCAACATTTTCAGTCTTAGAAACAATGAAGCCACCGACAACGCTTTGATCATCTTCACATCCCTGCTTTATCCCCGAAGACTTTGATGCAGCTCAGCAGCACGCTCTCGTTCCTCAGAACCACAGTCTCTCTCTGTATTTCTCGGCTCTCTACCTGTTCTTGTGGCTGGCTCGGGCACTCGGCGCCATTGATTGCCACTAAAACCTGACTGGAGAGGCGTGGCGCCCTCAGAATATATCGGCTGCAGACCTGCGCTGAGCGCAGATGGAAATACCGCAGCCTGATGAGCTGAGTTCGCGGATTCTCGCCATGCATGGCATAGGAGAGGTAGTGTAGGCGATATTGCCAGGTGTGACGAAGTCACCGCATCGGCAGAAAATTGGGGTTGGATGGATGTAGGGCGATTCTCCGCAGGGAGAGACAGGCATGTATTCTTCATCAATGGTTTTGTGGATGTGACAAACTTCTTGAATATTACCCAGATGGTTGTTTGCTGTCAAAGATTATACAATATACATATTAGATAGATTGTTTAACTTTATTCAACAGAAAATTGTGTCTTTATTTAACCCGGCCGGGCCCGGGGGGTAATCCCAACCACCGCAGCCCGGGGGGGGGGCGTTTTTCGCCCCCCCCCCTGTCTAACTCCGTAAATAAGGGAGCTACGGAAACAAAAGCGATACCAAACGAAAGGTCCTTACGAGACGATTCTAAAGCACCTAAAATGTTTGACCTCAGGTCAATTTTCAAGGTCAGAGGTCAAGGTCAAAGGCAAAAACCGGCACATGTGTAGTGATCTCAAAGTAAGCCTTCTAGAGGACGGCAGGCGGCATCAAACCGGCAAAATTGGGTGTCAAACAAAAGAAGAGAATCTGAGGATTCCGAAAATGTGCTCTAAATCAAAGGTCAAGGTCAAGGTCACGCTCAAAATTGACTTCAAACTTGGCACTTTTTTGCACATCTTGCGTGCTAACTTTCAAGATGTTTTGAAATGTTTTGAGGCTTATCAGTTCCATATTTGTGGTTCCTCTTACGATACAAGGCTGCTCAAAGGTCAAGGTCACTGAAGAGTATCCCTGCTATTTCACTAATTCAAGTTAGTAATAATAAATAAGACAACTTTGCCATCCGGAAGCTCTAAATGAAGGCTTAGAGGAAAATAGATGCCAGATTCGTGATCAGCGGGTACAAATCCATCATAAACGACCTTTCATGTGTCAAGGTCAACCAGAGGTCATTCGAGGTCACATGAGGTCAACATAAAACTTGACCTTTTACGATCAAAATATATATCATTCGACGCGGCTTGACAAGGCGAATGCGATGGTACCACTGTCGTAGCTCTAGGACCATTTTTGTTGAAGTTATTTGCGAAAAACTAAAACCACATTTCGGGGTCGTTGACCTGACCTCTGACCTCAGGTCACCAAAACAAATTTTCTATTTTTCTCTGGGTCAAACGCTACACAACCGTGCTCGTAATTTGTCTTTATCTCTAAAACTCTATTTTTAGCAGCTATTTGAAGTTTGCGTCTGTGACGCCGAAGTTTGCCGTGCAGGGGTCTAGAAAAATGAACCTTGTGACGTCATCAAGGGGGCTAGGTCCAAATTTTTTGCTTCAGAAGATGTCAAATTGATGGGAGAAAAGGTACTGAAAGTTTCGCTTTCCTATCCCTAAGCGTTCGGGAGCTATCGCAAATATTCGACAGGGGGGGGGCGAAAAACGCCCCCCCCGGCCCGCGAGGGTTAAAAAACTGCATGATTGTTATCAGGCATGTCCATGAAAGCCGGAAATCCAAACAATTTATGGTAATATGACATGTTTGCCGTGCCAGATAGCGATAACAGGTACCAAGTTAAATTTGCTCACCACAAATTTCATCTACAATCGGAAAATCGCCCACATGCCTCTTCTCCATTAAAGTCAACAGATGGAAACCATCACTAGGACCGTTAAATCTGACCCGATGAGCTGGTTCCTCAATAACCAGACAGCGCCGAAACTCTGGCGATTCGCCGAATTCCCGACTTTGCATTGATTCCGCCGGTCGGCTAGTGGACAGCAGTAACCAGTGGCTAGATATTTTTAAGATAGTTATTTATTTAGTCAGGGCAACATTGATCACATGGCTATTGCACGGTTTTAGGCCAATGCTATATTTTATTATCCCGTAAAATGTGCGTCTTTGTGTACATCCATGGTTTCGGAATCCATACGTAATAACGTAGCTTGAATTCTGTGCTCACTACTTATTTACCTTTCAATCACCACCACAAACAAGCACGTACACATACTGCCCATGCACGTCACCGATGTCCTCAGTCACGCATCCGTGCTAGCGTGTGCCCAAAATACCACCCTCATTGGTAGCTATGTCTGATTTACCTTCAGCACCGACACACGGATCATCAGTGTATTGACCGAAAGACCAATCACACGGTATCGGTAACGCACATTGATTGGAGCTTCGGGACATAGTGACGGCTACTGTGACGTAACGGTGACGCAATGGTGACGTGACGCGTAACGGGATGTTGTGTTATGTGATGAGTTACGTGGCATGTGATGTGACATGTTACGTTACCTTTGACGTGTGACTTGTTCCAATGGAATGTAACTTTCGCCATTCCTTTCGGCGTTTGTTGTCCGTCGTATACCATTCATTCCAGAGCTTCCCGAATTAAATAGTTTATAACTCCTTCCTTGATAGCTTGAGCACCACACTGCTGAGGCCATGAACACGCACGCACGTGCTGTTGCGTCAGCTCGTTTCGGTGGACTTAGTACCCGGTTATGCAGTGCATTGAAGGTGGCGACGTGAATTCAAAACCAGGCTTACATATTGTATGTAGTGCTGTAGCGTACGTGAAGAGAATAAAGTTGTATCATCTAATGTGTCGCAATACGGCTTGGTTATTCCGTCCACTTTCCGGTCAGCTAAGGGGATATTTCATGAATCAGACGTGTGCAGTTGAGGTCGATTGCGTGTTTTATAATACGACTAAGCCACTAGACACAATATTGAATCTATGCGGAGTCGTGGGTCTTTAGACACAAAATAATATTTTTGTAATGGGGAGCGTCGCGCTACATACGACTGTAATGATTTTGGAAATTTATAATAGTGTTACGAATAACATATGACACTAATCCCCTAAAAGTAATGAATAAATCATCGCTCAGTATCGATCTCCCCTTCCTCCAATCCTTTCATCTACCGTCTCCAACTTTTCTCCCTCTCTCTCTATCTCTCTCTCTCTCTCTCTCTCTCTCTCTCTCTCTCTCTCTCTCTCTCTCTCTCTCTCTCTCTCTCTCTCTCTCTCTCTCTCTCTCTCTCTCTCTCTCTCTCTCTCTCTCTCTCTCTCTCTCTCTCTCTCTCTCTCTCTCTCTCTCTCCCTCTCTGCATTCTCTCTTCTCTTTCTCTTTCTTTCTCTCTTTCTCGCTTTCTCCCCTTTCTCTCTCTCTCTCTCTCTTTCTCTCTCTCTCTCTCTCTCTCTCTCTCTCTCTCTCTCTCTCTCTCTCTCTCTCTCTCTCTCTCTCTCTCTCTCTCTCTCTCTCTCTCTCTTTATCTCTCTTTCTCTCCCTCAGGCCTCACTCACTCACTAACCTACGTCTCTGTTTTCCAGGTGACCGTCAGCGTGCAATGTGCGGCTCCCATGAGCTCTAACCGGCATGGCCACGGCCAGTGCTTGGCTCAGCGAGGCCGGCAGGCGTAAGCGAGCCGAGCTGTGCGCGCGACAGCGGCAGCGCGGCCCGGCGCCGCTGGCCAGCTTCGAAGACATCAGCGTGGACCGCAGCGTCGACTGCAGCATGGAGCGGAGTGTCGACCTCGATATTGAGGGAGGTGGGGTGATGGCCAAGGCGGCGCCGGCAGAAATCAACTGCCAGAAGCTGGCGTTGCCGGCGGTCACCATCCAGGTCAGCAAGGCGAGCAGCTCGGCCAGCGAGGGAAGCCGAGCGACGACACCCGAGGCCGATGGAGGCTTCCAGGAAGAGGTTGGTGAGCTGCGAGGGGCCACAGACGAGCTCGGCGCCCCACACATGTCAGTGAGAAAGGACTCGGTGTCGTCTGCGGGAAGTGAGCTGATCCTGCCCATCAGCGGGCGCAGCAGCAGGATTTCGTCTTTCTGTTCCACAGCGTCGGGTCGGCGATCTGTGTCACCCTATCGGACAATGCTGGAAACGTCTTTCTGCGGTAGTCGGCCGCTAGCACCTCCGGAAGAACCGACTGAAATCCCGGAGCCGCGGCTTCCGGCCCTCGCAAGCAACGGTCACCACACGCCTTCTCCGGCAGTGTCGCCGCCTATACGACGAGACTCGACGCCAGTGCGTCGAGAGTCGCCGCCCTTACGTCGAGAGTCATCACCGTTACGTCGGGAATCTCCGCCGTTGCGGAAGGAATCGCCTCCGTTGCGTCGTGCCTCTCCCCCTGACGACAGACGAGCCTGCACCCTGCCACCCCATCAGGCGCCGCCCAACGAATCGTCGAGGAAAGCGTCTCTGGGGCAGAACCAGCGGCGACGCGAGGAGTCGCTTAGTCCAGCCATGACACCAGACTCGCCGCTACCGAGAAGGAAATCCTCCTTCAGCCGCTTTCTCAGCGAGGCGAAACGGGAACTCAGGGAGCGAAGCAGGTCACGAAGTAAGTCAAAAGAGAGGGAGATGGACGGTAAAGGGTCGATCTTGAGCATTTTCAAAAGAAAAGCCTCACATCCGAGAAAAGCTGACGGAGAACGCTCACCGCCACGCTCTCCATCATTAGAAAATCGGTTAGAAGATGAGATCAATAAAGTTGAATTTAAGTTCTTTGATGGTGAATCTGCCAACACGAGCGAACAGATTTGTAATAACGCCGTCTCTTCTGAAGAGTCTACGGAGAGGAAGGGACCAGATGCGCCGGTCGTCCAAGGGTATGGGAATGTGATGCGTGAGCTGAACTCTGCTCTCATGCAGAGAACACAACGACCAGCCGGCGAGTCCCCTCCGCCTGCGCTACCACTGAAGTCCCCTTCTCGGCTAACACGAGACTTTGGTGCTGTCTCAGTGGAGCATGATCACCCACGACCAGCCGGGGTCGAGCTAGGACCAAGGGTCTTACCTGCCGTCATTCCCAAATTAGATAAAAAGAAAGACAATGAAAATAAGTCAGCTAGCACCAAAGCGGAAGAAAAACCCATGGCGCAAGAGAAAGAAAAACCGAAATTATCAACAGATGCTGAGAAGGAAGCCAACGACACCCATTCTGCGCCACGCCCGGATTCGCCTCCCGCAGCCGTTGCAGCCGAGCCGGCCGGCGGCAGTGCCGCAGACGAAGCAGACGCCGAGGTGCGCTCAGTTCGCTCCGTACGTTCAGTGCGGTCCTCAGGGTCTGACAAGGAGTCCTCAGCCGCCGAGCGGTCGGAGCCAGTAGGTCCGGACGCCGAGGCCACTCAGCTGTGCCAGGCTGACTCAGACGAGGATGAGCTGCCGTACGTGCCCACCACTTTGCCGTTGGAGCGGCCACTTCAACATCCCATTGTCCCGATCGAACAGCGCGGCTCGGATCTGCGCTGCACCGCTGGGGTCGAGCGTCCGCGATCAGCCAAAGAGGTCACACCAGCAGATTTGAACAATTACGTGAAAGAGGCCAGCACTGAGCCCGCGCCTACATCACAAAGGGTGAAAATATTGATACCGCAAGATAGTTTGAAGCTGATTCGAACACCAAAACGAATGGCCATGAAGAGCTGGTCGCAGTTCGCACACGAGGGTCTCCAGAGCCCTCGTTTGAAAAGGCAGCAGCGAGCGGCGGAGACTGAGACGACGTCATCGGGAGACGGTCCTAGGATGTCTGTCATTCAGGCTGCGTCATCTCTGGCGGAAGACGAAGAGGAAGAAGAACATGAAGAGGCGAAGGGATATAAGAGCCCAGTGGTCTTATCGGATACGCCACCTGGAACACCTCCAGGCTGGATTTGCGTCAACGACCTCCCAGAGCCGCGCCGAACTCCGAGAAAACTGGGCTCGGTTTCGACCAGCGCTACAGTGCACCAGCATTCATCATCATCCCCCACACATTCCTCAACCGACACAAAGCACACAAACCTCATCAGATCGTCTTCTGCAGCACCACAGCGACGGCCTCGCAACGTCGACGAAGACTCTCGGCGACGATCAGACCCGGCCGAGACGCCTCCGTCGCGCTCCACGCCTCGCTCTCCAGCGGCGGATTGTACCGACTGTCCGTGTCGCCTCTCTCTGACCAGTGGGTCATCTCAGGAACTTCCCACCAGCGGCAGCTTCAGTCAGCTGCCTCGATCACCAGTAGAGTTGCGTGAAGGCGAGCTCAAACACGAAGAGATCCAATCTCGCCTCGGTGCTGATTGTGCTCCTGTTCATCGACAAACTGCTCTACTTGCGGACACACTCGAAGATGCTACGCTCACTTACTTCCGCACTGTGCAGGAGAACAGCCCTTCGGCGGCCGAAGCGCGTCGGCGTTCTGCCTCAACACCCCGCAAGGACTCGTACGGCAACGTGCTGACTGTCGACCGGCCTGGCTCGAGGCCGCGCCTCTCCTCCACGGGTTCCGCAAAATCACGCTCCCCATCACCGCACAAAATGCTGATTGAGACCTCGTTCTGTGGCCGGCAGCCGGTGCCGGCCCCGGGCTCCTTCGAGGTGGACGATCTGGTGGACATATCGCACCTGCCCAGCGAGACGGCGTCCCTGCACACAGACACGGACAGCAGCGGGAGACAGAGCCAGGACGGCTGCGTGTGCCGCTGTCACAGCGACACTGACGACCAGGACACGGACAGGAGGCAGGAGGAACTGCGCGAGAGACTCTCCGTCGTCAGGTGAGTGACTGAAAAATGGAAATGGGTATACATTTTTAAGGGAGTCGGTTCCGATTAGGAAGTGTTTACCTCTAATCGATTGAGTTAGGTGGTATTTTCATCCAAGTGACAGAAATTCGTTGCACAAAATACAGGCAGACATACGTTTTACACCTACTCCCACATGAAGGCCGCAAGGGTGACACAGTCCTTGCGACATCTATTACAAAAGAACTTCGTGACGCAATGACGAAGCTGTCTCGCGAATTATCACCGGGGATTACGTTTCCCTAGCTTTGGATGTGGGTCAGCCGACGCTCGACGGTTCCGGTGCCGCCGTAATGCAGTGGCAGTGCGGCACTCAATGGAGCAAAGTCGCGGACCGGTGACCTTTCTGCCCGGAGGCTGTAAGGTCGGCCGACCCCAGAGTAATGTGGGACGGTACAATACATGCACTTAGGAGTGGCTGAGTGCACATTGCGAGCTACGCGAAACGAGGTGGATGTGTAAGGACTTATGAAATCGTGTTACGAGCCAAGTGGATAAAGTGCAGTTACTGTACAGTCCGAATTACCTGTATCTCTACACACGGACAAGAATTTCTCCCTCAAGAAATGGGCGGTTGAAAAAGACTGTAAAGGTGGTACCTAAAATTGTCTTTTCTATTAAAAGCGTAGCATAAATACTCAAGCAGTTTGTCGCGGGATAACCGCTAGTGAATGAGTGATCATGACATCACCTTTCAACCTTTCCTGTCTTAGCTGCTGCGCCCGCCTGACTCACGGCTCTACAACTTGACCACCACCACACTTCCGGTATGGTGTAAATGATTAATAACCCTTTTCACCGGCGGTTACAGTGCGATGCAGACTCCATTTTCATTACAGAGTAGGGGGCTGACCACTATTTTACTCAACAGAGGCAGCTATAGGTGTCATTGATGATGGAATGCAGTCATAGAAGTGGTCATGTTCGGTGATAGTGTGCCGTTGTGTAAAATCAGGGCATTTTTGTAAACGATTCCAATAGCTAAAGGCCAAGTATTGTATGCCTCAGAACTCCATTTTGTTGAATTATTTCAGGGATTTGATGCGTAATGCCCAGACTAACTATTTGTTCTTATGCTCATGTCGATATCATACCGACATTCGTTCTTGCTCCTTCAAGCTCAGGTCAGCACAAATCCGTTGCGAAAGCTACTAAACTATCGGCCAGACTTGATGGCACAATACTTCCGAGACGGAGCACTTCATCCCAGCTGAGTGGTCAATAAAACCGTCGTATCAATCAATCACTCCCAGTTCCCTGCAGATTTACTGACTAATCCGCTAAGAGCACAATAAGGCGAACCAGATGTCCAGCGCCAATTACCTTTCAATGTACTCGTAGGTAACTGACTGATCTTTTTTTAACCCACGAGCCGCTGGGGGGGGGGGGCATAAAGTTGCCCCCTTTACGTTTTATGAAATATCTCCGAAACCTGATAAGCTACGAACGTGAAACTTGGCATAGCTTCAAATGAATACCTAGGCAATGTTTGAGGAAAATTTGGTGGTTGTAGCACCTAAGATGACGTCACAGTGACGTCATAAAGTTTTGTCGTTTTCCGATATGGACCGTTTCTGATGACGCTGAGCATGAAACTCAACTGAAAATGAACTAGACAGCACCTGCTGTCTTCCTAAAACATCTAACTACACTTCCATCTAGTTTCTGACCAATAATCGACCCTTTATATTCGGTCCCACTATCTGATGTATCGTGAGGAATATGAGAGTCGCAAATCTATGATTTCACTTGTGACGTCGCTGTGACGTCATTTCAAATGGGATCGACACCAAATTTAGACACAACCTCGGCTAGGTATTCAGGAAGATGTGTACAAAGTTTCGCTTCTCTATCTCTTCGCGTTGCGACGATATCGTCGCAGAAGTAAAGGGGGGGGGGGGCAACTATATGCCCCCCCCCAGCGGCCGGCGGGTGGCGCGGGGGCCCAGCGGCCGCCGGGTTAAATTAACCCGCGCCCCAGTGGCGGTGTCCGCCAACTTCGCCCTAGTGAGGGGGGGGGGCATATGTTACCACCCACCTCTAACTCAAAAACTAAGAGGTCTAGAAAGACGCGGTAAAAAGCAGTCGATAGCTCTCAATGCGTACGTTTGAAAGTATTTCCGTCATTTTTCATCTCAGAGCAGTATTGGGGTCACCAGAGGTCATCAAAGGTCAAAATTTGCCAATGGTCATTATATTTTTCAGAAAACATGCCGTTATCTCAGGAACTATGGTAGCTAGAAAAACGCATGAAAAAGTAATCGATAGCTTTTGAACTCTTCTTTTGATACAGTCATTATCAAAATTGACCTCAGGTCAACGGTTTAGCCTCCAGAGGGCAAAAACTCCAAAAATAGCTGTTTTTACGAAAATTGATTTTCGACAATAACTTTCGACTACAAAAAGCTACAACATTTCTATTGCCAGAATCATGTTCCTCTCGCCGAGACGCGTCGAATGAACTATAATTTGACCTTGAAAGGTCAACTTGAAAATTTGACCTCAGCTCAAGGTCATGACCTGACCGGAAAAGGTCATATTGCATATCAGTCGATGCGTCTCAACAAGACAAACACAATGAGACCATCCCCAGCGTTCTATCTCCTTCCAATCGCGAGTTATTGGCAAAAATCTGTTTGTAGCCTCAAATGACCTCGGATGACCTTTCTAGAGGCTATCAGCAAAAATGACACCTTGGTCATCATGGTCGGTCCAAGTCATTGTGATTCTGAAATATTTGGACTGTTCCTATGTGTACACACGGATCTAGAGGCATTTTCATTTTTCTCCATTGACTTGTAATGGAAAGGTCACGCCACTGACCTGACCTTAGGTCACGGATATAAAAAATCCGAGATATACAAATTGTAGGCGCCCATAACATCATGCAATCAACCAAGTTTGAAACCTTTCTGACAAACACTGCAGGCTAGACATGACTGCAAACTTTTTTTAGGCTTGGTCAGTTAACTTGACCTGGTGACCTGACCTGACATGACCTGGGGTCAAAAATTTCACACATTGTCCAAAATTGGTGTACCAAAAGCTACCCCAAGCGGCGCGGCGCTACGCGCCGCAGTTTTTTACTCACACGCAAAAAACGCGACAGGGTGGTAACATATGCCCCCCCCCCCCACTGGGGCGAAGGTTAATTCACTTTGCACTCGTCAATTCGGCATGCAAATGCCATGAGATTCAACTAACCTATATCTGTCTGTTTAAGTCACAAACACACCAATCTGCCTCTCCGTCTGACTCTCCTTGTCTCCTCAGCGGAAGCAGCAGCTCCTCGGGGCCTCCAACGTGCACAGAACGACCTCCACCGGACCGCGCGGAGCTGAACCGGTCGGGGGACACAGAGTACCTACTGGCGCAGCCTCCGGCGCCTTTCGGGATGGACCTGGACGTGCCCAGCAATAGGAGCAGCCGTGTCATCTCCCCGCCGCCGGTTAGTATAAGAAATGTGTGGGGACTGAGCTGAGGGGTGGTGTTCTTTCTCCATCAGACACATGTGTGGCTTAGACGGGTTGGTGTCATCCCTATGCAAGTACCTTTTGTTATTCCAGCCGGGTGACTAATGCAGACGTTTCAGGCACTAGTTGTAAAGTCGCATGCATGCATGGAGTCATGTGCTGTCATCTTTCCACCAGACACATATAACTGGGCTAATATGGCGACTCTCCGCTAGACACATTCTTCACTGGGATGAGGTAGTGTCATCTCTCTAGGAGACACTTGGGAACGCGATGAGGTGGTGTAATCTTTTGTTGGTGTTGCAAACACCAGACACGTGTCATTTGGATTAAATGCCATCCCATACAAAATTTCAACGCTGCACTGGTGGTTCGTGCGCCAGACATTTAGCGTCTAGTTTTCATGTTAAACCTCAACCTTTTATAAATATCTTACATGTTGTATTCTTACATGTAGGTACATGTCTCTCTCTCTCTCTCTCTCTCTCTCTCTCTCTCTCTCTCTCTCTCTCTCTCTCTCTCTCTCTCTCTCTTTCTCTCTCTCTCTCTCTCTCTCTCTCTCTCTCTCTCTCTCTCTCTCTCTCTCTCTCTCTCTCTCTCTCTCTCTCTCTCTCTCTCTCTCTCTCTCTCCCATCTGACCCCCAACAAGTTACTCGTAGACTCCAAAGTTCTTCATTTACTGCCAAAGTTGTAGCAGAACCCAAAGCAACGTCACAACATGGAGGCCGCGCGGCACCGCGTCACTCTCTGCTTTTTCCTGAAACATATTTGGTCGTCTCCTTCCGTCGGAAAAGTCTGCTGTAGTGTGTGCCGTGTGGCGGCGAGGAGAGGTGCAATGCATCACGCTCCGTCTCGCCAGGGCACGTTCTCACGTCTGCCGTTCCGACTACGGCTCCCTGGGGGCCGTGGCAGCACGGCGCGGGATATACAGACGGCGCAGAGCAGAGAGGGCGAGGGGGAGAGTGAATCGCGGGAGAGAAGGGAGGACAGGAGACGCCGATAATATTGTTACGCTGGCAAGGTCACATTGGATCAATGCGAGGAGTTATCGGTACTGGCTCGGGCACCTCAACGGGTTGGGTTATATGATAATGGAGTGGGTAGGAGACACGAATATGCGTTCCTATTTCGCTAATGAGTTACTGAAGAAATTGGTTATAGATTGACGAGCAGTAGAGAGTTTGGTGAGTGATGTAGGGCGTAAAGCTGTATCTGGAATAGCTGTATTATTTGCCTTCACACTATGTATGTACAGGGTGTAACGAAATTATCCGGACATCTATTTTTTCGCCATATCTGCTCGTACAGTTTCTCTTTTAATGTCAGAAGCTGGAAAATTGGATGAATGCATACCTCTGGTATCTGCTCTCAACTCAGCAGTGACCTGACCTTGCGAAATGACTCTTGCTCTGAGTAAGAGTCGAGTCGCCGACTGGTTCATTTGATAGTTTTCGTTTAAGGCAGTGGAGAGAAAGGAGTACAGTCTCTCGTTTCGTAATAAGGCTACGTGTTGGTGGCATGGTGGCATGAGCCAGAAGCTGGTCTGTCAGCAGCTGGACATCAGCAGCAGCCAGTAGCACATCTGCCTGAGGCGTAATAAGCTGGGACTTGGTGGCAGACTCAGACCGGCCTCGATCGCAAAAGGCGCCCTTTGCCAAGTGGTGAGGAGAGTTGTCAAGATAGCGACAAGGAAACGGCACCAATTAATCCGCATACTGACTCGAATTCTTACCAAGGTAGATAATAAGAGGTCCCACATCATGATTCACCGTTACCCGCCCTTTAGCTTGGTTTTACTGCCCTTCAAACTGGAAAAGACAATGAAATTGACGGGAAAACAACCAGTCCACCACCTTTGGCTTCAGGCCAGGGCGTGTCCACTGGTCGAAGGAAGACACGAATGAGGTGACCTGGTCGGATGGGAAGCTGTTCGAGCTGCGATACCCGTTGAACCGTCAAATCGGCCATGTGTGGGCTGCCAGCAACTCGAATATGCCGGCCGTCGCCGGCGTCAAACGTCCGGCCAAAATCCAGACCTGGAGCATGTTCAGCTGCTGTGTAATATTCAAGCTGTTCATGACGACACAGAAAACCACTATCAGTGACGAGTATTACCGGCGCAAAATCCTGGCTAGCGATTGGTTGGAGCCACTCAACCAGACGGCACAGGATGGCTCGGTTTCTGAACGTGTACCGATACCTGATTCAAGCCGCGCAGTCTTCATACGGGGCGGCGCACCACCTTCAAGTCCCTAGCAGAATAAGAAGTGATGCCGAGAGGACCTTTTTGTTCTTCTGGGCTAAAGGGCTATGGCTTTGAAATAGTTCCCATGCAATTTCGTCGATATATTATGGACTATTGTCCATCAGGAGATGAATGAGGGGACACCCGCCACCAGCGCCGCCCAACTGCGGGCACAGGTTAGTAAGGCGCTACTCTATATGAAACCCACTGTGCTGGAAAATCCAGTGGCTGGAATGCTCCAAAAATGTGTACCTGCGCTCTTATGAAAGGTGGCTATATAATAATTCAAAAGGGAAAATATCAGAATGTCTTGCTTCTTAATTACAGCGCGAAGAAAGATGTCCGGATAATTTCGTTACACCCTGTATTTATTACCAACAGGTGTGCGTGTAAGTTATAGCTATAGAAGGATTACTAACCAATCGCTGACATATTTACTGGCGGTAGTGAACATAAACGACGGGCGAAATACACTCACGTCGCTTTGTAAAATACGCCTGTGATATTAACTAACGCACTGGTAGAATTACACGCGTAAATGTATCGTTTTTAGGCGTAGCCCATACGCGTAAGCGAGTTTCTAAGATCATGTACCGCAACACATCTGTGTAATGAGTGAGAGCCTGGACCGTAGTCTCTGCCATAGAGAACAACAGAAACCCAAATCCGATTCGAAAGTCTTTTTCTCATTAATGAAACAATTTTTTTATTAATTGCTCTGTATTTCACACACATCTGTCCACACATCTGTTTCACACTGTCCTCCCCACCAAAGCCATAAAGACAGTGGAAGGGCTGAAACGTCTTATAAAAAGCTAACAAAAATGATAAAAATCTTTTGATGGGATATTACAGGCTATCATTGTCTATGTCTGGTACTTATGGGTCGTCGGGGGTCGCGTGAAGGGCTCTCGCAGTTCTGCTGACTGCTTTTATAGCGTTGACTCTGCTGACGAGTACATTACGTGCTAGCATGCCACGCCAGCTCCGAGCGTGGCGTGCAAGGCTCAGAATCCGCCCGTGACAGGCAGCAGCACCTGGCGGCGAGATGCCGAACTACACTCAGTCAATATAGGGTCCGTTCGCCAATGCCACGCTACTGCCATCAACATTACCGGCCTACTTTTTATTTTTGTATTGAGGCACTTGCATATTCGCGTTCATTATATAATTATAATAATATTCCTGTATCCGCAGGAATATTTGTTATGTATGCGATAATTAAACTAGACTCATTCAATGCAAATGGTGGAATCAAATTCATTCGATTCAATTCGTTTCAAATGGTTTAAGTAAGCCTTCGCCCTAGTGGGAAGGCTTGATAATAAACAACAAGAATATGAAGTGGCTAAGAAGTAATAAAAAACGAAAAAGAATTATCTGGATGGTGTTTCTTATTCTTGAGTACAGCGAAAAAAAAAATATAATCGATAAATCTGACTGAAATAGACACGTTCTCTTCAGACTATCACGTTCTAAGTTGGTTGAGTTTGCGTCAAGATACATTGACGACCTTCAGTTTGCCAGATACGAGGCATCCGGTTCATTGCCTATTCATGAGTTAATTGAAGTCCAGCTCTAAGTTGGTCATTGATCAGATTAAAGGGTTGGCATGAGCTTTCCTTATCGATATTTAGTTAGCCTGCATCGTACTCTGCGCATGTTTCACGTTGGCTAACATAGCGCTAACATTCTTATGCTGATATGTGCTTGGCTGCTTTTGATTGTAGTCTTACTTCTTCGAAAATATAAGTACCGGAGTAATAGCTCTAACACAAGAGGGATGTTTTATGCTACTTTTGTATCAGCATCGCACGGGAAACCGGTATAAATAGATATTACAAAAATAATTGAATTAGTCTGGGACGACGCGTGGTCAGGTGCCTGGATTTTCATCACTAATGTCACCGATCTATCACTGACACATGCACACATAGCTCACACATGTCCATTCGCCCGATTTCTCCACCACGGCACTGAACAGGTGGTCCTGTACCCGTGAATAAGCCCCTCCGGTGTCCCCCATTTCATCTCCCCAATCCACCCGCTCCGTTGTCATCCATTTCCCCTGCGCCGCCGCCCGGTCCATGTCCAACAGAAGAACGACTCCATGAACATTCAGTCTAGCTGTCCATTAAAGCTCGGTGGCACGTGTCCATTAGGCACCCGGCGGGACTCCATCCATTGAACGATGTGCAATCAGCCGGTCTGGGCCGAGGAGGAACGACCTTGTTCCGCGGCTGTCCGGCCGGCTGGTCGGAGCGGACGCTCTGCCCAGCTGGGTAGGATCGATTCCGGGAGCACTTTCCCCGGCCGGCTGTCGAGCGAACGAGCGGCGGGCGGTGGGCTGTTGTCTGTGAAGGGCTAGTGGGTGCCCCACGCGCGGTGAGCAGGGCTGACCCGGCGCTTTGGTCAGGCGCAGGGCGTCGGGGCGTGGAGGGTCAATACCCAGGTGGGTAGGGAATGAGGGGAGCGATTGGGCAATGGGTGGGTCAATAGGGTGCGCCCCTCGTGGGAGGCGTTGACCGAAATACCAGGCTAATCAGAGTGTCATAATGATTGAGATGTATGGTAGTTGACAATCAAAATGTTTTATATCCCGCGCCCTGCTGGGGGTCCTGGATTTCCACGCCCTGCTGGGGGGGGGGGGTGTTTGAACACCCCCCCTTGTAACTCGGCTCCTGGGCCACGTAGCGATACGCGGAAGGCGGCGTTCGAAAGAGCGTCAAAAATAATGACGAAATCACTTCGGTCAATTTTTTGGTCAGGTCAAAGGTCAGGTCACCAGAGGTCATTGAAGGCAAAATTTCGCCGATTTCCAGGTCGAATGTCGAAAATTTCCAAGAAGCCAACGCATAACTCGGGAACCAATAGAGCTACAGCGCCGCGGAAAAGCGCATTCGATAGCCCTATTAACGCCCTTTCTGAGTAATTCTCTCAGATTTGACCTAACGTCAACGGTTTTGCCTGCAGGGGGCAAAAACTGCAAAAATAGCCGATTTTTTCGAAAACAGTTTTTCTGCAATAACTTTTGACCCAAGCCTTGTACGAGTTTACATTTACCGGCATCGTGTTCCTCTCGTCAAGACGCATCGAATGAACTATGACTTGACCTTGAAAGGTCAACTTGAAAATTTGACCTCAGGTCAAGGTCATGACCTGACCGGAAAGGGTCATGTTGCATATCAGTCGATCCGTATCGTCGAGCTGAACACATCTAAGGCGTTTTCATCGCTCTAGCATGCCTCTATCAAAAGTTATTTGCGAAAAACTGTTAGATACCATTCGTGACCTAAGATGACCTCAGGGCATAAACAAGGGTCACGGACACCATTTTCAAGTTCAGTGTGTCTAAACCACTTGTAATTCGGTGTTTGGGAGTGTTTATAATGTCTTTCATCCAAAAGAGGCGCATTTCAATTTTCTCCCATTGACTTATAATGGGGAGGTCGCAAAATTGACCTGACCTTAGGTCATCGATATCAAAATTCTGAGATATACATTTTGTACATGCTATTGCTTTCAGCAATCGCTGAAAGTTTCAAAGCGATCGGTCACTCGGTGTAGCTATGACAGACATTGAAAGTTTTTATGAGGTGAGGTCACTTCAAGTGACCTGGTGACCTGACCTTGAATGACCTTGGTCTGAAATTTTCACAACATGTGTAGAATTGATGTATGATAAGGTGTACCAAAAACGGCGGCGCTCCGCGCCGCCGTTTTTGAGATATTCGCAAAAAACCACAAGGGGGGGTGTTCAAACACCCCCCCCCAGCAGGGCGCGGGATATTTGGTACTGGGATTGAAATATTCGATTGTTTTGGGATATACGATTGCAATAAGTATTTGTTTGCGGATTTGTTCTTAGAGATGTCAACGCTGATTTAAGCTTAGCTTTTGTGCACCAGCACATCCAAGTGTAAACAGGTTATATAAGCTTAAAGATAAGTCTGATATTTGATACGTTTTTATAGCATGTAGGCAATTTGAAACATTGATAGATCATCATTTCTGAGTGCTAATTAGGGAGCTAATTCGAGGCACAGGATATACTTATCGTTCTGCGTATTAAGAACTACATAACTAGTCTCAGCATGAGCACATTAATATATTAAGCTCTACAAATCCCTGCATTGATCCATTGTTGCTGGGCGTCGAACTTACATAACGGTTATTTGAAGGAACCAGTAAAGGTCACCGACCACTTCCACTGTACCAGAGTCGTTAGAGTTCTGCTTTACCTTTGTGGTTTGCGAGGATACTCTAGCTCATTCGGGTGTTGGGAGCAAGCTAAACTTATTAATCAAATGGTTTAAAAATGGTAAAAATGGTAATTACCCAAACTGGAAATCATGGTTTGACTGTTGTCCTCTGTCACTTTCAGAGCTGGCCGTCATCGCCCGAAGACACACCGGCCCCCGAGGTGTAGCCTCTGCGCCGGCGGCCGCCTGCCGTAGCCTCTGCGCAGGCGTCCCGGGGTGGCCTAGCCAATTCGGCAGCCTTCTCTTTTCTACCTTATATTGTAGTATCCATTGTAGCTGTTAGCGGCCCGTCTGAAGAGGCTGCTCGCTTCGCGCCGCCGCTGGTCTCCTGGTTTTCCTCTGGCACGAAGAGGAACGTCCCCTCCCCGTGTGCAGCGCCATCTGTCAGGTAAGAACTCAAACTATCATCTCTGTCGCGATATCAGCTGTGCGACTGATGCGAATGAATGAATTGATTTTGATTACAAACGATAAAAGCGACTAAACAGAGCATTCACTTCTTAGATACCGATTGTAAAGCAGCATAGGCCTACTTCTTCACATGCATACCTAATATACTGACTGCCATTCGGCATAGCAGCGATGATTGCGATACCTACAGTGTTCATGTCGACCGTTTTTATGTGTACACCATCATGGTCATGTTATATGTGTGCACTGCTATGTAGTTTCATTAGCTGTAAGGCAAAAGCTGAATCTTTCGACATTTTCTTAGGCATTTATACTTGATTTAAATTGACACGGAACACATTTTGTATGCCCGTTAAGTTTGTTTTTATCGATTATTGACGTTGCTGCTTCTCCATCAAGTACCGATAAAAATTACACCACTTGTCCATTCGTTATTGCGCGTCCATTGCTATCAGTGTCTCTCTAGTGACAGCTTGACAGACAGCAGGCAGGCACCTAGACCCCCAGACAGGAGTGGCGCCGAGACGGACTCCTGCAAAATGTCAGGGGCTGGGGACACTGGGGCTGGGCTGGTCGAGGACTGGGTCTGAAGCTGGGTCCCTTGGAGGTGGGAATGCTGATACTGCTGGGATTTAGACTTTTTGGGATAGGTATTGTGGCTGCATCGAGATTCATGCTCACTCTTCAGGCAAGAGTTTCATCTGTAGTGTTCTGGGGGCATCCTTTCCTCTCTTTTGCGCAAACATCCATGCCATATTTCCCTCGAGACGCTGATATCCATGACCGACACACTAACAATCAAATCGGCCCTGGAAAGCGAGCACAAGGAGGCGTCAATCTCGATAATGGCGCAGCGCTGAATGGCATCACACCCACATATGGGGGGGGGGGCGTCAGGGGGATTGGTTTATAGACGGGCCAGTGTATCGAGGCGGCAGAAGACAGCCCAGCTCCTAAAGTGATTCCGCCCGGAGACTGGTTTCGTAACTGCTCTGAAGCAGTGCTGGGCTGTGAATCGTGATTTCATTTGAAAAAGCCGCTGGCATGCGGGGAATTTTTCAGTGATATCTGTCTACAGCAAGGCAGGATAAATCATTTTCACTTTCGTTTGATGCTCAATATCTTTAGATAAAATACGGCGGCCAAGATGCAATTTTTTCAGTAATTCACTTGTAATTGTATAATACGCTTTTGATATTTCCTTATTAAGCGCAGTTTAAACACAGACTGTGAGCCCACTTACAGCTGAATGCCTATTCTGAAACACATTTATACAACGCAATGGAACACAAACACACACGGACGCAGACCATAACAGAAGTATGTCATTGAGTGTCATGTTTTAGTGCAAGCACCTTACTAGCTCCAATTTGATTTATGTTAGGCACGTTATGAAAAAAGAAGTTTTACATTGTATAACCTTATATGAAGAAAATTCAATGTTTCATGCAGTCCAGAATAAAGCTTATTCCTTTGTAAAAGATGGTTCTTCTTGAATCATTAATTAGTAATAGGAGATTGAACGATCACATAAAGAAAATATTGCAGAGGAGCCTGCTTCTGAAATATTCTGATTCGGAAGATGCCACTGCACTTAAAATTTGAGGCCCGCAATCCGAACGATGCTATACGATCAGAATGGTATAATAATTCCACTGCATATTGTGATGTGGGCTCAGAGATCAATTTTGACCGTACCAGGTGACTTCGACATTCCCGTCGCACGGCGCATAAATCAAAGCAATCGGTGTGAAGTTATGAGAACAGGCGACGTTATGATGAAATTCCTCATCCTGTGGTGGCAGAGAGAGAGAGAGAGAGAGAGAGAGAGAGAGAGAGAGAGAGAGAGAGAGAGAGAGAGAGAGAGAGAGAGAGAGAGAGAGAGAGAGAACGGTTCTGTTTTGAAATTTCATCATTAAGTATTGAGGATAAGGAATAACAGATAAAATCGTACACGTAAGCACATTATATTTCAAATAAAGACTGTCCATTATAACTAATTTAAATTTATCCTTACTAAAAGTTCATCTTGGCCCAGCAATCACAGGGAAATGTATGAAATTGCAAACCACACCAGCATCTAATACTCACATTGAAGGACGTGATTTGAGGCATACCATAACATTTGAAACATAGAAACATTATGATATTAATCAAATATTCAGAAACGATATATCCCGCTTCATAGATGAAGCGGGGTCTGTGGTCGAAGTCTTTGGTGTTGATTTAGCCTTTCGCTTATGATTTATGAAATTCTGAGCACTGCTGACACTTGTGAAGTGATCCGTATAAAGCAACTGATCGCTCTCCCTCGATCGTGACATGGCTGTCCAAAACCTCTGTGAAATAATATCAAACACTATGGAGTGTATCTTGTCGGTTATTATAAGTTGGCCACTATTCATGTAACAGTAACGTTATGTTGTGTCGCTTAACTTGCACCTGACTGGAATTAATTCCATGACGCAAGTGACAGGGACTCTACAAACTCCTGCCTCCGAAACTACGCGTCCAATTTTCAATTCAATTGGTGTTTACTGGCCCCAGAAAAACAGTCGAGCGAGACCTAATTTTGTTGACCTCGAGGTCACCAATGACGTTACCGGGCATACCAAACGGAAAAATTATTAGCACGCTGATTTACTGTACAATGATGAACATAACATCATCAATAATATTTATTGTCGTTTTAGTATATCGTTTGTCCTATTTTGGTTCCCGACTCTTCTTTCAAAACTCCAGCCTCGCCTCGCAATTACTGAGATTCCCCATCCAGGTCCCCCCCTCCCTCCCCACCCTCCCTCCCCTTGCCGTCACGTGGGCGGCGCGCCTGGACCGTTAGTTCTCCATTCCGCCACGGGGAGGCCGCAGAAGCGCCGCCGGCGCCGCCGCCGCCGACGGTCAATACGGCCGAGCCTGCGCACGGCTCGACCCGGCAGGCAGGACGGACGGTGCAGGCGGCGACGACGGTGTGACTGTGTGCCCCCGTTGGCCGTCTCACCAACCATAGCGTCACCAGAGAAACATGCCCTGGTTCAGGTACGTGACGCCACAGAGGTCAGGTCAGTCAGCTGGACCCGGCTGGCGGCGGCTGGGTGGGCCGGGCGGCTGGGGAGTTGCAGGGAGGTCGGGAACTGTGCGGTCTTCAATGGGACGTGTCGTCGTCTTGTTATCGAGCGGTGTTCGGTTTGGTCCAACATCCCTGTTTTTGTCGGAGAGTGTGATTAGAGATGGAAATCTCAAGTGATTACGTGATGGAGAGGTCGTACGAAGTTCGAGGAAAGATTGGAGAAACACGCCGCTGGTTTTCTTTTCGGGTAGCCGGTGAGAGGTCGATGGGCTCTCATCGGTTTTTATATTCGTCTGAAATTCATGTCTGAATGCATAATTAAGAAGTGTCCTGTGCTGCTAAAGGCTAAACTTTATCCAGATGGGAGGTCACGTTTTATGCAACCAGCAGACCAGAAAGCTTAAGCTTAGACTCTCAGCGCGACTGAAAACAACGACCTCCACCGCTCTCCGGCAATGGCATTTCGGTGTCGCCGTCAGCCGCCCATCGAGCCACCGACGACCATTTCCCAGAGCTCCCATCGCCAGGCCCAGACCCATTCACAACGAGGATATTGAATCCCGTCACCGCGACCCTATCGCTCTGAGCACTCGGCCGGCGGAAATGCCCCACGGTCGCAGTCGCCCTCTCGGCCGGGGCAATGGCGGCGACCAGAGCCGGCAGCGTGGTCGTCGGGTCGTCTCGATGGCGCGTCCCCTGCGGCCGGCGGAGTTTCGGCGCCACCACCGCCCTGCAAACCATTTCTGCCAATCGATCCGGCGGGGCTGCAGTCCGATTTGGTGCGCTCCAGGCCGGACGGCGGCACAGCCTAACATCCAGGCGTCATGAGCCGGCAGAGCTCAGCGGTACAGCCTACCACCTCAGGCAGGCATGGTGCTGCCATCCAGCGGCCGGGTGCTGAACTTCATGTCGCAGCAGACTTGGCTGCTGGAATGAAGTTGTCGGCTGCGGGGAATAAATGCTGAAAGCCGAGTTTTATGCAGATGACCTTTCAAAAGATCATCAGGTCAAGGCAACTTCAATGCTTTGTGATTGAGAGGTGTCTAGTGGAAGGCCTATGAAAGGCAAGCCTTATTGTTAAATATGCTTCGAGTTTCCAGTGTGCCGATTCCACTTCCGTCACCAACTTTGATTATAAAGCTTGCGTTTAAAATTTTTATTTTTTTACAACTTAACTACAACTCATGACGGTACCTGTCATCCTTTGCTTTACAAATAACCACGCAGCAGTAAAAAAGACGACGCATATCGCCTGTTGATACGTAGTCTAAGAGCAAAGCTAGAGGAGTCGTAACATTTCCCAAAAAGCTGACGATTTGTTGGAACATCAGCACGACGTGAGTTGAATGCATCGGAATTCAGGGCCGTGTTGCAATATCAGTGTCTGCCAGCCTGCTCGCATCGCTCTCTGTTTTCCTCGTTTGCCCCGTTTGGCTTATAGGCTTCCGGTCTATTCAGACTATTTTTGACTGGCGATCTGAAAGAAGAAATGAATTCATTGAGCTGATGCAACCCCTGGCTGGTGTATCACATAGGCTGAATCCGTCCCGTTGGAACTGGCGTGTCCCGATAGAACATACAAACCATCCAGCCGTTCAAACAGTCATCCCGAGGGGTGTACTCCCCAAGCGGCAAGCAGCAGCTCTTGCCGATTGCCTGGTAGAGGCGACCGACAGCCCGTAACGATGGTGATCAACGATAGGCCCTGAGGATGGAAGAGGATGGATGCCTCCCCTGTACTCTACCATCCTGGGCCAGACCATTACCAGTCGAATTGTACACTGTAATCAGTAGACCGAGATCATCAACATGATAGGAGTTCCGCTACTCAGCAAGACGCACTTACAAGGATGTACTAAACACTGGCACATGTTGCGAGGCCACAGCGCTCTGCTAGGGAGTGGTAAGGTGTTGATTACTTAGCGCCTGTCGTCTACCGCGTGAGATTGGATGGTCGGCTGGGCCCTGAGAGAGCAGCACTGGATCGATTAACGCTACAGGCGAGGGGCGTACTATGATTGCACTCTAGCACCGCGAATTTACATGGAAATGAACTGTGACGTTGCTTTGCAGTATTTACGTACTTACTATTGATTTAAACAAATTGAAAACCTTGCTATAAGATTGCTTGAAATACATGCATCAGTAAATCTTAGCGTAGTAATCGGGTGCTTCTCCCATTTCCCAATTTATGCAACCACTTAGAGCATTTGCAGGTGTTGGCAAAGCAGGACTTGGGCCTGGTCTGTATGTTCCATTACGTTATTCTCCAGACATCCGATTTGAGTCGGCTGGACACTAAACAGCCAATGCTTAAGAATGGTATGGGTGAACGAGAACCACACATGCCAAATTTATCTTCCTGACCATTTTCATCTTATTTCACCTCACCTCAAACGATGAGTCATCCTCAGGTCCCAGCTACGACATATATCATCTTCATCACCTACCCGCCGTCGCAGGAGCGGTGGGGTGATGGATTTTCTGCTCGGTGGAAGTAGGCGTCTGGAAGTGGATTGCCCTCTTGACGCTATCTGTTCTTCTGAAGTAATGATTTTCTTTTAATCACAGTAAAAGTGGTCTCGTATTCATTCGTATATAACGTCGTGAGAAATTCTAGATGTAAATTGCTGCATTTGACAGAATGTGAACCAGCTAACTATTTGTCAAAAATGGCAACAAATCATGACTGAATTTTGCTCCAATCTTTGATAGCCGCTACTTTTGATCATAATGCAAAAAAAAATATTCAAATAATATTGATTTAAAGAATATATGTAATTCATAATAGATAATCAACTCAAATGAAACCCGTGTTATCTACCGAACATGATTCTTTGGAAGGAGGTTGTAATAGAATTTAAACAACCGAACACCAGTAGCGCCCAAAAGTCTCTCTTTTATTCACAAAATTCTCCAAACAAATTTGCACGTACAATTATTTCCGCGTGGAATAATTTCACGCACTTCAATAATCATACCACTTCTGACACACGCCCCTCTGATCTTCAAGATCACTAAAACGCACACACACAAAATATCAAAAACATTATCTTCGGTCATAAAACCGCGGCCAAACCGTGCACCTTAATCGGTCAACAAACCGGAGCACTCGCCGCTCACCACCCGGGCACCATCACCGGGCACCATCGCCGGTCTCCAGCACCGGTCTTCATTACCGGTCTCCAGCACCGGGCTCCATCACCGGGCTCCTCCAGCACCGGTCTCCAGCACCGGGCTCCACGACCAGTCACCATCACCGGGCTCCATAACCGCGGTCTCCAGCACCGGGCTCCATCACCGGTCTCCATCACCGGGCTCCATCGCCGGTTACCATCACCGGACTCTAGCACCGGTATCCAAACTGGACAAAATCGAATCGATCGTTGGTTCGTTGTCGTGCCTCGCCTCTTCGTCATTTTTAGCTTCTTTATCTTCCCTGTCGAATTTTCCCTTATTTATACAATACCGTAACTAGACCGAGATAAGGCCGAAATAGCTTGTAATAGAATTTAAACAACCGAACACCAGTAGCGCCCAAAAGTCTCTCTTTTATTCACAAAATTCTCCAAACAAATTTGCACGTACAATTATTTCCGCGTGGAATAATTTCACGCACTTCAATAATCATACCACTTCTGACACAGAGGTATAAAAAAACATCCCAGTGAAGCAAATTCAGTTCTGCAGAAGTATCCTATGACGGGCTCGAACAAACTCCAAATTCATCCACGGCTATCTCCGGTGTACCATGAGCTCGATAACTCTTAGAGGAGATACCGATCTGCCTTCACAATCCATCGTTTCCCCTTCCCACCCTCCCCTTCAGCCTCCGATGGGTTCAGTGACGTCACTGCCTCCCTGCGCCCGTCTGATGACGTCACAATGAATCAGCTGCCGTCAGCGGGGGCCATCTTGGTCGTGACCGCCCCCCCCCCCCCCCACCGCCACCACCGCTACCTCAGGCGAGCACTCGATGAACAGTGCGCCGTCGGCGGGCTGGCAGTAGCATCGGCAGCGACGGCCGTCGGCGTCGGCGTCGACGGGGCGCCCGTGGGATCGATGGCCGTCCGACGCGAGACGTCGCGTCGGCAGAGGGAGGGCAGGCCGACGATCGGCGCCTACCCCGCCGGGGTGTCGGCTGACGCATGGGAAGGCCGCGAGCCGTCGGCAGGGGCGGCCTGGGTAGGGAGGGTCGCTGGACTTCAGGCACGGCGGGCACCGACGGGGTATGGAGGATTGGCCAAGCCATGGTCAGGCGCAGTCGCTATCGATATTGCGGAGGTGTCAAAAAATTGTTACGTAAAATAGTTGGTTTGTAATCGATTTTCTTGAAATATCAGATATGCCAGTAGTGCCACCCTGGTTTGATACGCTGCATTGCTCTTTTTCAATATTGTTGATTACGAAATGATAATGCAGCGTTGTAAAATGATTCTGCTGTGTTGCGAAATGTCGAAAGTGTTGATGTTATTCTGATAGTTAGATAGCAAAATATTCGGTTGATAGCTACATACAATACAAATATTCGGTCGTAAACGTATTTTTCCAAATTTCGGAAGCGCAAGCAGTAAATTTCTGACCTATAAACACACGTTTTCCATAATATTTCACTGAACAAGGCTCATTTTATCATTTCCCCGAAGCTCACAGGTGGGCCGTGACTGTTGCGGAGACGCAACAGATGTGTCAGATCATGAACACGGGCGAGGAATAAGGCCATGCGAGGACGCAACAGCCTTACGTAATCATCGTGAATAAACCAGGTGCTTGAAATGTCGTCCGCAGCACTGGAGAATAAAGAAGTCACCAGCAGACGACTGGACATGACATTGCAATTTACTGACTTGCGTGGAACTTTGCGACGTCAGTTTATCAGTTTTGAATGTCCCGTAAAATAATGTAAGCGAAAGCTGAATATGGCCTTAGAGGTCTATTTACAAAATGTCATCGCACTCCATGCCCAATCAAATTTATTGGAACTAGGTAGATTATTCTGGACGCTTCTGTTATTACATATACTGCTCGGCAATTATATTGCTCGCATCAAGCAGGTACCTATTTGTTATATTACGTTATTGTAACGGCCCGAGTACATGCTGCTAATACCCGAATGATGTGAAAAGTAAACCATGAAGCATCAAATAACATAACAACATATTCCATAAGTTTTTATACAGAATGCGCCAATTCACCATGCATATTGCCCGATTTAAAGAAATTCCACCTGACTTCACCAGCCAATCTCCGCCAATGCCTGTGACAGCCCGTCTGTTCCTGCTGCAACACTGCCTGATCTCCCCAGACAGTAAAACTGGCTCTGTCCGCCATGAATCTTGAACAATGTCCAATCGTCTCCGGCCGGGGTCCGTTGAAGCCGGTGAACTGACACGGCTTCTAGCGATGTTAGGACTGTTAGGGAGACGCTGGTAAAGCCAGACGGAGGTTGTCTGGTCCGCCAGCACGGAGGGGCGAGGGGAGAATTCTGATTCACTCCTCAGGCGAGGGGAAGGGGAGCAATACCCGATGCAAAGTCCCTGCGGACATGTGTGAGTCATGCCTAATTCACAGCGCTGTCTCTCCCGTCCACAATCAGGAAAGGTACTTTGGTAAAACGTTCACTGTGGACCTTGAGCGAGCCAGTGATTGCCTATCGAATACCACCCATTTACAAGCTTATTGACCTCCACTGGTCATTCAAGTCCGCTAAATGAGCGCATTCTAGTCACAATGGAGAACATATATAGGTACACAATCAAACAGATCGATGGTGAAACGATTGAAAGTAATGTCTGTTTTTAGCCGTGGATGATAGCCACAGAGTGTTTTCGTTATTGACGTTCATCGGTGTCCAATGGCAGCAACTCTGTCTTGGGGAGATATGTGTGCAAAACGTTCACAAGCTTTTCTTCATTTCATGATTTCCAAACGCCATCTAGACAGTACACACTTTCTCAGAGCTCCGTGGATGTCAGTACAATTGCATTACGCTTATGAGATATGCGTTATTGCCTACTGTAGCACATTTCGGAATCTCCAAGCGAAAAATCGCCGCTTACTTAAGTTATTGTCTCATGGCAGTCCGAATATTCATCCTTACACTTCTTTCTATCTGTTTCAGATCTTTCAAGTTAGGACATGTACAAATTAACAAAAGGCATCAAGAAGAAAGTTAAAGGCAAGAAAAAGCCTACCGAAGAAGAGCTTGAGCAAGAAGAGCTTCGGCAATATCGTCTTGAGAAGCAGCGAGAGCAGGAACTTCGCGAACAGGAGCAGCGAGAGAAAGAAGAACAAGGTCAGGGTGACGAAGGAGCCGAGGATTCGACAGCAGCGGGAGCTGCAGCGGCTCCTCCAGAGGAGTCGGGGAAGCCACAGCAGAAGCCGGCAGAGTCAGACGAGTGGGCCAAGTTCCGGGCGCTCACATCCGGCGTCGACTCCGTTCTCAGCAGCACAAAAGAGAGTCTCCAGACTATCAAGGAAACAAGCTACTTCATCAAGAAGAAGCCAGCTTCTGAGCAAGAACCTGAGGTAGAAAAGAAGCCAGTTGCTCCAGAGGTCAGCAAGCCGAAGTGGGTCGACGTAGATGTTGAGGAAGAGTCACCAGAGTCTGAGACAGAGCCTGAACCAGTAGAACAGCCTGTTGAATCTCAGAAAACACCCTCTCCGGAGAAGAAGCGTGACCTTGAAGAGGTTTTATCCGAGGTTGAGAAGCTAGAACGTGCTCAGTATTTCGAAGAGGACGTCTTTAACACCGAGTACGTTGACGCCGTCAAGGATATCAACCTCGCTGTTATCCCTGATAGTCCAACAGAGGACGGCGACGACCCTTTCGATACATCAGCGGTTGACGAGGTCCTACGTGAAAAGCCAGAAGAAATCAAGAAAAAGAAACTTAAGGCTTTCGCGCTAGGCAAAGCAGTTGAAGTCCTTAGCGGTACCCAGAAAGATAGTGAGAAGTCCGACGAGCAGGTAGAAGCTCCAGTTGCAGCTGCTCCTAAGAAATCACGCCGTCGGGAGCGAGGTGTTTACAGACGAAAGGGCTCCTTGGACCTACTTGAAACATCTGAAGCGGCTCTACCCTCGGAGGACATCAGAGTTACCAAAAGTGCAACTGTTTCTCCGACAGAGGAGGCGCCGACAAAGAAAACACTTCTTGATGAGGACATTGAAGATGGTGGAGAATTCGAGCTAAATCTAGCCGTAACACCTGACTTCCACAAGCCGCAGCCAGTACCCGAAATCGTAAAGAGCAAAGACAACAGCCCCACTGAATCCCACAACCAGATTATCAGTGATATTGTCAGCGAGTTCGATACCAAGGCTGAGCCTTCTCAGGCTGGGAGTAACGAGCAGATTCTTACAGCCAAACCACCTGATGAAAACGATCTAGAGTTTGATTCTCTTGCAACCGAATCACTTCTTCGTGCCAAGGATCGCGAGGAAATCATCGGTGACGACGACCCATTCGATACATCTGCAGTCACACAAGTCCTGGGTGAAGACAAGACTGCTGACACAGTTGACTTTGACGAAGAGGAAGTCAAGTTTGAGGCCGATTTTGGAGAAGCAAAGCCGAGACCATCTCGTCCTCCACCGCCTGTGATTATCACTTCTCCAGAAAAAGAGACACCAGACTTTTTGACATCTAACGAACATCACGACTACGAACCTCTCCCCGAGCCAATCAAGTTTTCAAACGAACAGGAAAAGAAGCCTGATAACAATCAAACCAGCCAGGAAGAAGAAGAGGAAGTTGATCCCTTTGATACCACCGCTGCAGACAAGCTTGTCGGAACCGAAATCAAGCTTCTCGAGCAGGAGCTTTTCGACTCTTCCGACGCACCAGGATCTGAGCAGACATCGGTCCCCGTTGCAAACGAAGACGACTTTGACTTTGACCCTCGTGCAGGAGAAGAGAAATCGGAACCAGATCCGTTCGATACATCATTTGCCGGAGGGTTTGTCTCGAAACCTGTTGACGCAGCAGAGCTTCTAGCCTCGACGCCAACGCAAGACTCTACGCCCGTTGTTTTACCAACGGAGCAGGTAACAGATTCAACCTCACAGGCAGAGGTCGATCCATTTGACACATCTATCGCGGACACTTTCGGCAACGTCGAGCTGCAAGTACTAGAGACCGAACTTCTGACAACACCTGAGCCAGCTGCAGTAACAGATCTCGCAACAAAACTAGATCTCTCGGCAACCAGCGCACCGCCACGACCTCCTCCACCTGCTCCTAAGAGTGATTCTACCTTTCCGGTAGCATTTGACGTGACACCTGAGCCAAAGCCTGAACCTCTTCCAGAGCTCCTTACCCTAACTCCTGAAGAGGAGCACGCGGCTCCTGTTGAGCTAGTTCCACAGCGCCCGGAGGACCCGCCTGAAGAGATCGATCCGTTCGACACATCCATCGCCGACAAATTCGGCACTGTTGAGGTAGGGGTGCTCGAGCAGGAGTTGCTTGGAGCGTCCCCCGCTCCGGCACCAAAACAGCTCACCGAACTTCTTCCCAACTTAGCCGAAGAGATTACAGTTGCAAAGTCCGGTACGAACAGTGTACAAGAAGAACCAGGCGCAGAAGAGGAAGAAAGAGACGTCTTCGATACGTCTTACGTTGACCCTGCTAGTATCGTACATCCATCGGAGGTTGACGGCGCTCGTTTCACGAAACCAAGCTCCCTGAGTGTATCTGAGAGCTCGGCAGCACTGCTAGCCTCCACTCCTGAGGACCCCAATCCACTGCTCCAGCCCGTCTCTGCTACCGGGATCCAGTCAGAAACAGAGGAAATCGACCCATTCGATACATCCGCCGCAGAACAGTTCGGCCACACCGAGCTGCGCGTCCTCGAAAGCGAGCTTCTCGGTGAAGTACGCTGCTCACAACAGCCACCGGCAAGACCCGCACCCCCGCGACCAGCCCCTCCCCGGCCGACTCCGCCCGCTAAGCTGCCCGCCTCCCTGTTGGCACCTTCTGCAGACGAGCTTCTTGCGGTAACTCCAACCTCAGAGCAGGCACCGACGCTACAGCCAAGCGCGGATCTTCCACCACCGCGACCACTTTCCCCAGTTGCTCTCGATCCGTTTGACACGTCGATTGCCGATAAGTACGGTGCCACCGAGCTCCGCGTCCTCGAGCAAGAGTTCGCCGGAAACGAGGCGGCATCGCCGGCGCTGAAACGGTCTGTGAGCGACCCTGATTTTGATCCGCGCGGAGAGGAGAAGGTAGCCAGGCCGGCTACCCCGAAGGCCGCAGCTGGTGCGGTTGGCTGTCTTTTGGACGCTGATACCGGAGCTCCAGGCGCAGGGCAAACACTGACGGCAACTGTTGTGTCAGCTCCGGCTGTTGAAGAACCCGAGGAAGTCGATCCGTTTGATACAAGCATCGCCGACAGTCTGGTACCTGGAAAGGGAGAGATTCTGGCGCTTGAGCGTGAACTGCTGCACTCATAAGAAGTCAGTCAAACACTGCCCCGATAGTCGTGAGTGTTGAGTGTTAGAAAGTGTTTCTAGTAAAACTATCAACCATGGCTTCTGGTAATCCCTTCTTAGAGATGGGCGGCTTCGGAGGATTTGACGCTTCTCAGCGAGATGACTCTGCTGCACTCAGCAACCCTTTCATGGACGACGCTCCAGGCCCAGGTGCAGCTCTGGACAACAACCCCTTCGGCGCCTTCCTGGCTTCCTCGGAGCCCACTCCTGCTCCTGTCGCCGACGTGGCTCTCAGCAATCCCTTTGCCGACTCTGTACCGCCACCCAGGCCTCAGCCGCCGGTGCCACGCCCGCCACCCCCTAAAGTCAGTGTAGCAGCGACGGCGCCGCCTCCTGTGCCGCCTCCGCCGCACACCGACCTTCTGGACGGGCCGGCGGCCCCTCCGCCGCGACCTCCGGTCCCCGAGGCGACCCGGAACCTGCTGGCCTCGGTGACCGGTCACCTGGAGGCGGCCAGCGACTCGCTGTTCGGTCAGCTGAGTAACGTGAAGACGCCGCGCCAGAGTCCCACCCACATGCTGTCCCGCTCGCCGTCTCCACCCCTGGATGGACTGGATGAACATGTGGAACATCATGATGTCGCCTTCAGGTGAGCATAATTACCCACCCTTCTCTTTACCTTTAATTTGATAATGCCAGATATAGGCTAGAAACTAAGACAAATCCAAAATGCTTTGCTGGCCCGTGCGTGTTTGACATGTCTATGATTGGTCGATAGCGTGACTCATAAGGTTTTGATTGTGGCGGCATGTATTGATTCGGTCACGATAGTGACGATAATGGCCAGATAATGTCCAAAAATCAATGATTTGTATGGCCAGATTGCGTGTGTATTGCCAACTGCCGTGTGACAATTTTGTCCCATATGACCATACAAAGCTGTTTCTCACGCTAGCGTATGGAGACATAAGTGAGTCAGTTAACGTTAAAATCTCAACAACTCTCGCTCAAGTAAATGGCATCCAAAACGAATTTAGCAAGTATCGGCTCGCTTTTTCCAGCGCTGCGTTCGGCCAGACCGTCGAGGAACTGAGCGACCATGAGGACGCTCCAGACCACGCCCATGCGCCCACGGACTCTGCCGCTCACGAGATCGACCTCTGGGACTCGGCGCCTGCGGCACCGGTCACCAAAACCAAGGATCAGATCTTGAGTCTGTTTAACACACCGGCGACCAGAAAACCAGAACAGGAGGTGGACCTGCTGAGCAGTTCGTTCCACGACGAGGCCGCGCACCCGACTGGAGATCTTCTGGCTGACGGGCCACCGATGCCACCAGCGAAGGACGGAGCGGACATGTTGGAACAGCCTGTGTTGACAGCAGCGCCTGCCTCCGTCCCGGCTGTACCCGAGCCAACGATTTGGGATACGCCGGAACTCCCGAAGGCAGCGACAGAGGAGGAAGATAAGGATGGCACGACGCAGGCTGCGCCTGAGGAGGGGAAGGAGACGGAGGATGGGACTGCCGACAGTGCTGAGGGTCTGCAACCGCCGGCTCCGCCACCTCATCAGTCATCACCGTCAGAGGAGGTGCCGCTGAGGCCGCTGGAGCTTCAGCTGGACGCTCCGCCCGACGCCAAGGTCGTGGTGGATGCGCCGGAGGAAGACGGACGCGCCCACACGGCGGCCGCCTTCATGGACGAGTTCTCCACGCCTGTGGTGCCTGTGTCTCAGATCACTCCTCCTTCTCCACTCAGTCCACCGGGACCGTCTCCGATCCCCTCTGTGGTGACGACGCCTACACTGGCCGAGGGTCCGCCGCCTGGGCAGTACGAACCGTCTCAGCCACCGACGGCCCTGACACCTCCCGAGGAACTGACCGCGCCGCCCCAGCCCACGTCCGAGCCGGAGGTGGCGACCCAGCCGGCAAGACCACCGCCACCGCCTCGGCCAGCTGCGCCCCCTGCCCGACCTCCTCCGCCTGGTGTGACAGCGGCCGCACCTGCAGCCTCGCCAAAACCGACTGTCGATCCACTCAACATCTTCTCTGCGCCTTCAGAACCCTCCAGCATCTTCGGAGGAGGCATCGAGCCCCCAGAAATACCATCCGCTCCGGTTCCTTCCCCGCTCGGTATCTTCGATACTCCACCAGCGACCGCGGCAGCAGCTTCGTCAACCACACAAGCTGTTGACCCCTTGGACATCTTCTCGGCTCCAGCGGCTTCAGAGCCGGCGGCAGTGCGTCGTCCGCCACCTCCTGCGCCACCGAGGCGCCAGCCGCCGCCCTCGCCGAACCCTTTCCTGGAGACGGTGGAAGCCGGCGATGTAGCGGACGCAGCTGCACCGCAGGAGGATGCCTTTGACGCGTTTGCGGCGAGGTTTGAGAAGGCGGCGGATGATGCGGCGACTGGTGGCGCTGTGGATCCGTTCGGGGCGGCGACTGGGACGGCCGACAAAACTGCGTCAGGTGAGTTGATCTGTGGGTCGAGTAACGAATGTATGTTTCAGACCAGAAAAAGAAGTTTGGTGTATGTATACAAAACGTCAGTCATACAGTGAAAATGTAACAGAAGATGTCATTACGCCATCAAAGGAACCAGTTATTGCTTCTCAGCTTTGCATATGATAGCTTCTTGGCTATCCTTTTTGATTACTTGACTTCTCCGAAATAATAAATGCGTTTCATATGTTATCGGTCCACAAAAAGCTTAACATTTGCCGGCCACGATCATGACAGGGTCCATTGCTTCTCGTGTTCGCCTATGTATGTATCAAGAGCCGAATAGTCATAACAAGCATCCAAGGGCGTATCTCATACCAATTTTCTCGTTGCAGTAATTGCTTCACTGTCACCTTCTCTAGCCTCTCTAACTTTCAGCAGCCTTTCTACCTTATCAGTTATCTCCCCACCGCTTCCTCCGCAGTCTGGGGCGACTCCGCTGCGCCTTCGTCTGCGGGTCCGGGCGGCTTCGAGGACCCGGCGTTCGACTCGTTCCTGTCGATGACGGCGCCGCCTCCGGTACCTCAGTCAACTCCTGCTCGCGGCGCCAGCAAACAGCACTCGGAGGATGAGCCGACCGACCTCAACGTATTCATCAGGTGCGAACGATAGACTGGATTTCAGGAGGGATGGAGTGGGCAGATAAAGAAGAGAACGTTGAGAGCGAGAGGTTGCTTGACTTGCTGATGTTTTGGTGACGTGAGCTGGGTTTTAGCTCGCTGATTTTATCACGAAATTCTTTAACTGTTCATAAATTTCAGGACAAGAGTGGTGTTTCCTACACAGATCACAGATGTGGGAATATGAATCTCATTGCATTTATTATGAATGCTTCACCAAGGCAGAAGTTTTTCAAAGATGGCTAGCATGTTGAAATAGGAACTTTCATTGGAAGTGATTTTCGCATGGATGAAAGATGAGCTCAGTTATGAATTTAAGCTTTTTCTTGAGCTTAGTACCTTTGTCTCTAAACTGTTGTATAGGCTTTCAAATAGGACACCATGCATGACCTTCTATTCATGAACTACTTGTTCATGAACTACTCCATTGACCAAAGCTCAACACAAACACATCTTACTTATCGTGCACCAATGCACCTTTCCAGACCACAGCAGAGCTGGACGTCACAAGCTCCCGTGCCAGCCCTGGCGCCACCGCCCAAGCCAGCGGTCGCTGCGTTCCAGGACGCCCCTGCCGACACCCTTGGCAGTAACCCGTTCGCAGTGCCGGCAGCCGACCTTTCGCTGGACCTACCGCAGGCTAAAGGTCAGGAGTCAGCCACAGTGCTGGTGGTGGGGGGGGGGGGGGTCAGGCGCAGTGCGATAGACTTACGGTTGGGACTGGGGACTGGGGAGGATGTGTGCGGAGGGGTGTAGTACGCACGGTCCACTGTGCATGACTGGGTAATGGTGTGTCAACAGCGCAGAGCCGACGGGAGCGAGGGGCGAGGAAAAGTGGGAGGGAAAACGCTTCTTATTCCGGGCAGAATAAAGCAATGGAGTAAATTTTGCTCTACACTTATTGCTTTTGTTGTTGCGTCAATACTTTAGTTGCCTGCTTAGATACCAGGTATCCGACTAAATGATAAGCTGTATTGATAAATTACGAGAAAGTGCGTCAATAGCTTTAGACAAAAATCAGATTTTGTTTTCATTATATCACAACGAACTTCCTTTTTGTGTCCACAGTGGAGCGTCCGGAGCCCGAATCGGGCAGCCCACCGGAGACCCCGCTGTTCGACGAGGACACCTCACAGCCGCTGGAGCCGTTCCCGAGAACCACCTGGGACAAGGCAGAGTTTGACATGTATCTCCGGCAGCCCAACAAGAAGAAAATCACCGGACAGAGGTCAGTGGCTTGGTCGCCAGCGGTATAATACCTAATCCCATCTTCCTGCAAATTTGCTTATTTTAGTTGCCCTATTTTTGTTATGTTGCGATAGAGCTAATTTTTTGCTTCAAAATTATTTGGGTCATTACTGGTATGCCAATATCATATCACAAATAGCTCATGATGACACACTGGCCATCTCGGGATAGCTATCATTAGCCACGCATTTATAGGGCCTGTGCAATATTCGTCTACGGTCAGCAGCAACCACTGAATTCTTTCCGCCCTTGCCTACCTACCTTCGCTCCCAAATGATATCAACATCTCGCACTGCTCTCACAGGTTCTGGAAGAAGGTGTTTGTTCGTTTGGCGGACAATGCAGTACTGCAGCTCTTCAACGACAGAAATGACTCCGATCCGTTCCAGGAGCTACCGCTGCAGGCGTGCTACTCCGTCTCCGATGTCGGTCAGTACTCAGTTCACAACTCAATCTCAATCGAAACTCAACGTTTTGTGGCCCTCTATTGCGTCTTTTTGCTATCCCTCAGGTGCACATGAATACCATTCACGCAGTTTGAAGCCTTCACAACTCGTGCGAGCCCAGGCCAGCTGTCCGTCTTTAGCGAAGCCAGCCAGGCCTCTTTTATTGGTGTCGATGCCACGGAAGATTTTCGATACCATGGAGGATACCCCGAGTATACGATACCCCGGGCTGTGCGGCAGGCTAGCAGCCCAGTCTATTGGCTGGGACGTTCTAACCTGGCTAAGACCAATCAGCCAGCTTACCTGTCAGCTTTCTTATAACGGAATATTTGTGCTTGATAAGTAACTATTTGTATAAGCGCTCAACTGATCGCATACGAGCGACTGTCATGCTATCAGACATGTGCCTGGATCCGAGAAAATGGATCCGGGATCGGATCCCACGGATCCTGATCCAAAAATAACTGCTTTAATTTTCTGATGTCCTTATAACAAAATATACATGGACCCTGCCTGGCTATTGAAGCAGGACATTATCTATTGTTCTCAACTCTTACCAGAGATTGAGTCCTAACGTCAAAAGTCAAAACTCAAATATTGCGTGACGTTGCAGTGTGAGTCAGAATATTTGCTTTCCAAAGTACATGACTGCTGACGAAAGTCTATCCCGGATTACAGGAGCTCAACAGTACGATCAATACGGGAAGATTTTTACCGTCAAGCTGCAGTACATTTTCTACAAGGAGCGACCTGGAGTGCGGCCGGGTCAGATGACTAAGGTAAGCACTAAGCAACGGCGCTGTTCGGGTGGCAGTGTCCTTTATGAGCTCTGGTATTGTATCGCATTAGCTAATTTCATGACGTATCGGCCGAATTATCTATCCGGCCTTATTATCTAATTATCCAGCCGAGGTATCGGCCGGATAATTAGAATTACTTACAATTACTCACAAGTTACAATTACTCGCTCTTTGTTCGCGTCTCGCGAAAAGTCACTTTTAAGTTAGTCTTAACTCCCGCGCTGCTTCCATGGCAGCAGCATTTTCCATCCATTTCGACTTCTCACTATTTAACTATGAATATGATGGGATGTTCGTGTAGTTTGCACAATGCACAATGGAATATCTTTATATTTTCCCTTCTCAGGCGGAGCGGATCACCAAGAAGCTGGGCCAGTTCGCCATCTCAGCCTGGGAGGGCGACTACGATCGTGTCAAGGAGTTCGCAAGCGACGTCCGCAAGCTGGGAATGCCGGTCGAGCACGCGCCTCAGATCTCACAGCTGCTGAAACTCGGAACCCAGCACTACGAGGATGTCAAACGCTTCGCCAGCTTTGTGGAAGAAACTCTGTTCAAGGCAAGATAAGATCGTGCTTTTTGAAGATTTTTTCTGGTTGTTTTCCTTGATGCAGTTCTCCTGTTTATTTTGCTTTGAGGAAAAGATACAAAACGTTTCACTCGTTGATGTTTGGAATCAAACATGTCAATTGGATGTTTCATACCGATTGGTACAAAGTGGCTTCCTTGCAATATTAATTGTATCACGATGAATTCAGCATATTTCAGGTAATTTCTAATCACGCCATCTCAGTTGCTTATACGTCCTTGATTCACATGCCACCGACAACATTCTGTAAACTATTCTCACCATACCAACCTCACCGCCGTCAGGTGAACGTGCACCGCGACCGAGCACTCAACTATAAGACCGAGGAGATCCAGATATCGGGAGTGGACGAGGTCTACTTGGAACAAGACGTGACGGGAGCGGTCACCAAGCAGCTAGCCAGGGTTCGGCTGTTCTTCCTCGCCTTCCTCTCCGGTAAGCGCAAATGCTGTTGCTGTCGTTTGCATGTATGTCGGGTATAACGTTGCGGGTTCAAAATTTCAACGAAACTGACAAGGCTTCAGTGAACAAAGATGACAATAATTTATATCTAAACAATTTAAAAACGTTCTCAGCCATCTTTTATCTGAAATCGCACATTCCATTATTACTGACAGTGACTGACACATGTTTGCGTACTGCACGTCGTAGTTGCAAGCTAAATTCCATTAAAGTTCTGTCCCAGTGACAGACCATCACGGCCGTTTCATCCCTCCTCCAGGAATGCCTGACGTGGAGCTGGGCATCAATGACCTGCGGCGTCAGGGCAAGGAGGTGGTCGGCCGTCACGACATCATCCCCGTAGCCACTGAGGAGTGGATCCGTCTCGAGGACGTGCAGTTCCACAACATCATCGACCTACAGGCATTCAAGGAGTCGCAGATACTCAAGGTAGGCGGCTGAGTGGTTCGAGCGCGTGGTGGTGCGAGTGGAGCGCCAGAAATAGCTTCACTTGGCGTTGACGTGTGAGTTGCTATTCATAGAATGACTTTATATAAGTGGGCAATCATTGAGGCGTGGGTTTATGCGGTGAAGCTAATTTCGACGTGGGTCGATGGTGCATTCGTTGATTGTCAATACCCACTTATATGGTCCTCGCTCACTCGGAACATGCTCCGTAGCGTTATATTTAGTTAATTGTGATGACTGATAATACACGTTTATTTTTCAGTTCAAACCGCCGGATGGCTGTTATATTGAACTGATGCGGTTTAGAGTCAGACCACCGAGGAGCCGGGAGCTGCCTCTCCAGGTCAAAGTCAAATACACCATCCTTCAGAATAAGGTAAGGTGGCGCCATGGCCATTCAATCGTCCTCATACTTGCCTTATATAATATCTATGCTTATGCAATTCTGAAATGTAATGTTCCAGTAGATATTCAAAGAAGATAGAATACGAGTTATTCTCCGCATACCGATGGTAGATCGTTATAAGCAGCACGCCGATATTTTTAGCAAGAGGACGAGAGCATGCGTCGTTTTTTATTCGTCACGTGCAACCCATTCGGAAACTTCCGAAAATAATTGGTCATTGAGATTGCTTGAAATTACACAGTGCCATGGCCTTGACAGTGCCGAGCAATGCTAACTTCGCTGTAAGTAGTTCATTAAATTTCCAGTTCTATTTCATTAAAATTAGCGGAGTGCACAAATGTTTCATAACGTCTTCATTGTTCATGACAGGTTGATATTAGCGCAGACATTCTCGTGCCGGGCTACGTCAGCAGGAAGATGGGCCAGATTCCGTGCGAGGATGTGTGCGTCCGAATGCCTCTGCCCGAGTGCTGGATTTATATGTTCCGGGTCGAGAAACACTTCCGCTATGGATCAGTGAAGGCCTCCCATCGCCGGTACGTGTTTTGTTTATACGTTGTTTACGTACGTTCGCTATATGGAATCTGACATGTTACGCAGCGTGATTAATCGTGACCTTATTATTTGTGTGGACGAATGTTTATATATGTTAGGTCTTGTAGGAGGCTCAAATTACCATATCATTTATTTTTATACAGGGAATAGCCACGCAAAGTATACGTTTCTTATCAATCACATGAAAGCCACAGCTCTAAAAATATTAGACTTACCACGCTCCTCGCCCTTCAGCAGTGCACCGGCTGACTTCCTCCTTTCTTTGCCCACAGTCAGGGCAAGGTGAAGGGCATTGAGCGGATCCTGGGAGCGGTGGACACTCTGGAGCAGAGCCTGATGGAAGTATCATCGGGCAGCGCCAAATACGAACACCATCACCGGGCCATCGCCTGGAGGATACCGCGGCTGCCCAAGGAGGGACAAGGTCAGTCGGGATTGGTGACAGCGGTAGTAAATAGAAAGCTTCTTCGTATTCGTGGTGTATCGGTGATGTGTATTGATCATGGCATCAACAATTTAGAAGAGTACTTCGGTAGCGACTAGCGAAAATCACCGCTCCATTGTTGTAAAAAAGGGCTACGCTACCATATGTAGCCTGACCTATGATATGACTCGAGAGAATTTAACCCGCGCCCCACTGGGGTCTGTGTATAACACGCCCTACTGGGGGGGGGGGCTATTCATAGCCCCCCCTCCTAACTCCGAAACTACTGGGCCGATCGTCAAAATTCAAACGGCGTCTGATAGCCCCGGAAAAACTGTCGAGCGAAACCTAATTTCATTGACCTCGAGGTCACCGATGACGTCACAGGTCAGGTCAAAGTAAAAATTATTAGCACTTTGGCTTGTTCACATTTTGGGCTCTGGCCGCCGTCTTACAAGTCAGATCAGGCTCATTTTTGGTTTCCACACTCGTGAACAGATGCTCTAGATACCTTGAGGGTACCAAACTTGTACTTTGATTTTCAGGTCAGGGTCAGGTCATCACAGGTCACGAAAATATTATATCATGCGTCGGTCACGTGACACATGTTTTATGGTCCATTTAGGCCATAGATTTCGAATTTGATGTCGTCTGTGTCATTCAAGGTCATTTTGAGTCGAAATTAGCTTAGGTCAGGTCACTTTCAGGTCAAAAAAGGTCAAATTTTGAAGTTGAAATTTTTCAACAAAAAAGGTGTCTATTGGATGCAGTTTGAGCTCAGGAACACGATGGTGCCATTTATATTGGTGTACGATGCCAAATACGTACTGAAAAATTGATTTGAAAAATTAATAATTGTGAATTTTTTGCAATAATGCGTATAACTTGGCCATTTTTGAAGATATTTAGCTAAAACTTGCTAGAGTTAGTCATAATCATGCGTTCTGTCACATATATTCCGGTTTTTTTTTTCGAAAAGTCAAAAACTTTTTGAAAAAAATATAAAAAATAAATTTTGAATATTATTATATAAAATTTTCGAAAATTTCAAAATTTTGAAAATCCGAGATAGCAGTTTGATAGCGCGGTCAATTCTGAGTTCTTTCATGCAAAGAAATTGGATCTAGCTTAAAAACTGAGCTCTTGGGAGCGATTGCCGTGGTTCAATGTTTTGCGTCGAAATCGGACGAACATGACGTCACTCTGACGTCATTTCCGGCCGACCTATGGTAGCTACGAAGTTCAAATTTTGACACAAGGTGTCAAATTGATGCAGCCGAAGGTACTGAAAGTTTGGCGTCGATTCGTCAAGCGGTTTGGAAGTTATTGCAGAAAAACGGGAGGGGGGGCTATAAATAGCCCCCCCCCCAGTGGGGCGCGGGTTAACATAACATGGCTATTGGCTATGGCTAATAAAACTAGCTAAATACAGAAGAATGTAGAACTTTTTGATAGTTCCTTATTGACAGATTAATTTCCAAAGGTTGGTCGGTTCTCAATGGAGCATAACAGCATGTAAATGGTGCATATCTAACGCTAAAACAGCATAAGTGAGGAGATTATCCTATCCTCTTTCTTCCCTGCGCCGTTTCACCAGCTCAACACAAACAAGCTAACGCCCACGCGTGATAAGTGCCTCAGCCTCACCACATCCTGTTTCAACCGGCAGGTGCCTACACGAACCACACGTTCTCGTGCAAGCTGAACCTGACGTCGTTCGACCAGATCCCGGAGACGTTCGACAGGTTCTGCTTTGTGGAGTACACCATGCCGCACACCACTGTGTCACACACCGTGTGTCGCTCGGCCTCCATCAGTGGCGGCAGCGGCGACCCGCCCGAGAAATACGTCAGGTACCTCGCCAGGTAAGGCACCATTTATTCAAAATGTCTAGCCATTGCTGCTAATAGCATTTAAGTAGCAGTAACCTACCATTACGTCTACCTTCTACCAATTGGGGACAACCGATAAACAAAAATAAAACTGTTCAAACAAGTGTCAAACGGCCTAAACGGTGTCTAGGCCTAAAAGTGTCTAATGCCTAAACGGCCCATGCCGGTTAGGCATGGGCGTGGCGTCTCAATGCTCAGTTAGCGCCAGCAGCGTACTGCGCTCAAACAGTCTTCTGCTTGTTTCGTGGTGTATAGGGGGCGAGTGCCGAGTAGCCGTCAGGCTCAAGCGTCCGACACTCACTTAGACAGTCTCTGAGCCGGCGAGGCGGCCGATTGCCTCCTATCGACCGAGTGACCCCGGCCCGCCGATTGGCCGGTCGTGCCGTCCAGGGGATAAAGTGGCAGCTTTACTCAGCAGTGGCGGCCAGGGCCGCTGGATATTCATATTCCTACACATAATTCAAACAAAAAATAGCACCGAACGATAAGCTTTCTTTTGATCGACTGGCAGGGTCTAACGTAAACTTGGATGTCAAACGACTCACTCCTCGTCCCCAGGTATGAGTACAAGGTGGAGATGGAGTTCTGTTACTCCAAAGACGAGCCGGCAGCGTACTTGTCTGCCACACAGAGCAACGCCTCCAAACCCGCCGCTGAGCCACCACCTCCTCGGCCGCCGTCCAGCGACTCCGACTCCGACTCCGACTAGTCGGATCGCTGCTCACCATCTGACTCAGAGGGAAAGGGTGAGCCTGCGTCTGAGCTTTCTGAATGACGACACGTAATCTCGAGTTGATCTCGGCGAAAATCAGCGATTCTGGAATTCGATCTGACTGACTGTATTCGCGTAATCGGGCACAGTATGGCGATGTAACTCGAGTCTTGCGATCTGCTGCTGCGTTTGGCTGCTTTTGTTTGCCCGCAGCTCAGTGTATGTATGTGCGTGTTGTGCGATCGTTTTCCATACTGTAACATTCCATTAGGCGCGCGGGACCGGGCGGCGGGCCCGGCCCTCGCGCTGTAAATACGTTTACACCTGTGTATAGACTGTGCTCGTACGTGTTGTTGTGTTTTGTGCTTGTCCAGCCCGGCTCTCAACGGGCCATCGGCAGCTGATACCAAAGACATGGCGAGAAGCCACTGGGGACGAACGGCGCCCGACAGGCGTGCCCTGGAAATCGGGATGAATGTGTTTGTGTGTGAGAGTGTGAGTGAGAGTGAGTGAGTGAGCTAATGCCAGTGAGTTTGTTAGTGAATATTGTATGTGTGGCTGTTTGTGTGGTTTTATGATAGCAGCTTCCTGCAGTGTTAATCAGTTTGCGTATAAATTTGGATCCTAAATTAGGCTGAATGTGCACGTGAGAGACCTGTATCACTGGAAAACACCTATCCTGCTGAGTATGTAGATCCTGTGCCCCACATACCACGCCTACAGTCGTTCATGGTGCCAGCTGCACTGCAATTCAACTCTAGATACATGTGCTTCTGGCATTTTACAAATTTTATTTCGGGAATGACGATCGAGTACCGATGATGAATGAAGAGTGTTTTGGTCAGGGCCCTGTTTCACCGGTGATAGCAGCAAGCTGCTATCACGTTTCGCGAGCTGACGTCATGTCGTGACGCCATACTGTTGTCGTAATGGGTAGTTCCGGCGCCCGATTGCCGCGACCTTGGCGGCGGCATTAAGTGACGTATGAGCCTAAAAGTAAGAGTTTACGCAGTCATGATAGTATGTATATTTTTGATATATATTTTTTCAATATGATGTATTTAAAAGAAGTTGGGTTTAGGGAAAATTTTGACATTAACTTCGAACATTTAGCTGATGACGTAAAACAATATTGCGGCAATCGTGCGCCAGAATTGCCCCTTACGTCAGCAGTATGACGTCATCACATTACGTCAGCTCGCGCAATTTGATAGCAGCTTGCTGCTATCACCGGTGAAACAGGGCCCAGAACTAGCATTACGTGAAAATATGATATCGTTCCTGTATTCTAGTCAACTTGACTTCCTAGTCAACGTAAGCCACCCACATGGTTGTGATCATTGTATAATTTCGTTCGTGGCAAACACTTTTGCTATGGATACAAGTATATTGAGTGAAAATTAACTCAGTCAAGCTCCCTACGAAAATGTACATAATGGCCATTTTCACGACGGAATAGCAGGCATCTATTTAATCCCCATTTGATCCTTTGGTTCCTCAGGAATTTTAGTAGTTCTTTTTAGTAGGTTCCCCAGCTTTCGAATGAATGGTGCGTTAGTTTGCTATTTTTCTATTAAATATCACATCGATTTACTTTATCTAAGGATTTATCACTAATATCAACATAAAACGTAAGCTCAATTATAAAATTATGAAATTATTAAATACTAGTACAATAGTTAAAAAAAGATACTGAGTTGCCAGGCTACAAAGAATATATTCATTTATGGCGCACGACAGACATTTAGAAAGCAGCGCCCTGTTTTATTGCACGCTGCTAGCCGCTTCCATTGGGTTTTGCAGGCCGACGTCATTGGTCGTTACACGTATGATGTCACGCGACTTGTGGCCTGTCACGGCTCTTTAATGATCTCCACTAAATGAATGCAACAATGGCCTTTTAAGTTGATCTCTGTGGCCATCTGTCTATGGAGCGACCAATATGAAAGTTGGGTGAATTTACCGGGGTTACATGACTATTAGCAAGCAAATGTGTATCAGGAATGGATTTAGGTGGAGAATTGCGCTGGACCATGAGTGCTCGAACGCTCCCAATTCCACGCCGGTTTGGCTTTGGAGCCGAGACAGACGATGCGGGTCAAGGTCACCGCTGGGGTAACGGTGGATTGGCTGCGCCCGAGCACCCGTAACGCGGCACAATTCTCCATCTATGGATTTTCCTATTCGCTCAGCATTGTGATAGGCGTTCGTAATAGCATTTACTCTGCTCATGTACCTATCCCCGGTTATTTAAAAGAAGTTTTTGTGGGGGAATATCACGGCTTTAGGTACTCGGTGGCCCTATTCACGACTTTCAAAGAATGCTCCGATAACTAAACACCGCACAGACCTACTGCATTAGTGAATCTGACAGAAGGTCTGTGGAATTACATCCCCCCTCACCACACCCCTAAAAACTCATCCAGTGTCCAAAACCACTTTTATCGACTCGCCAAAAAAAAAAAAAAACACACACATACACACACAAAGCATGGGGCATGTCAGCTCTCAGTTCATTTATCATTGTCTTTACCATGGTTCAATTCCATTGCGCGATTTAAAGCACGTGGGTGCCTATATAGTATATATGTAGAAAATAATATCTACAGCAAAACATCCAAAATTACAAAGGTTACAATGCTTAAAAAGTAGGTTCATCAAGGAAGCCCATTTTTACTTGCGTTGTGTTGCCAACCATGCGATTCCAACGCGGGCTATTCGCAACGTCTGTTAAGGCACGTTAACAACTGACAAGCCGCCACCGCTGCCACTTATTCATAGATGGTTGATATCGCAGCTTGGGCGTCAGCAGCGCGGCCCACAACGCGTCGGCGCCAGCGCACGCAGCTGTTGGCACTCGGCAGCCGGTGTTGCGACTTAACGGCCGGCCGGCTCCATGAAGGAGAAGCTCTTGGTGAAGCTTTGTGATCGCCTCATAGCCGCCTTGGATGTCATCTTTCTTGGCAGATCCATCCGTTCAGATGGTACGGTGCAGTCTGGATAAAGGACGAAGTCCAACGCCGCTAACCCCGCGACCGCCACCCCACAACGTGGCCGCAGACCGAACGGGCGTGAGGGCCGTAAGGGCCACCCCCCCCCCCCCCCATCCGGTAGGTGGCTGAGCAGCCGGGCGCAGCGGCGCCTGGGCGGCGGCCGCGCTGAGATGAAGTCCCAAACCGCCATGTCGCCATCACCGCCATCAACATTGCTGCAGCTGTTCCCAACCGCCTCAATCGCCGCCGTTTTGCCAGCAGTCGCGCCGCGGAATGGCAGAAGCTCCAGAGTAGCCTCCAGCGCCCCTCTCCGCACGTGTGCAGGTGCACTGCGGCCGCCGGGTCCGACGTCCAGGCAGAACATGATATTTCCATGCTGCTCCGACGGTGGGCTGGTCTTGTTTGGGCGTTCCTCCACTGTGACGTCGGTCACGCCTGCCCCGGCCAGGGCGCAGAGGCCGACGTGTCACCATCCGGTTGCGGTCCTCAGTCGGGTCGCAACGTGTACCTCTTCCGCAGCGTGGAGCGCGCTCCCGCTGGGCAGCGATACAGCCAAAAGTAGCATGCGGTCGGCCAGCGCTGCGCCGGACAGCGGACCCATGCCGGGGGTATGCCGGTCTCGGCCATTAGCGGGGTCGTCGGGGCCGAGGCTGTACATACAGCTGGTGACCGCGTGAGCCGCCAATCGAAGCTCACGGCTTATAAGCTCGACGCGGGCATCACACGCCGTCCCGATGGGAGCTCCACGACGCCGCCGCGAACTCCAGCGCGGCTCGCAGCGCGAAGACCAGTACGGACGGCCGGGGCAAACGGCGTGCGGGAGTCGCAGGCGACGTTCTGCGGACAGAAAGGGTTGGGCATAAGCTGGTCGGCAGGACACTCTTGAGCCGAGCCTTTGATGTAATTACAGATGATCCAGAAGCATGCACAAAAATTCATGACACACTATTCTCATTTATGTATTTGCTACATATGATATGATATACCAGCTCATGATCAGTGACGCATTCTGGGCAATATGTTCTAAAGTGAAGTAACTGAAGTTACAGCTTAAAAGCTTACAAAAACAGCTTAAAAAACACACACACACATTCGATAGCTTATGAGAATAACATGCCTTGTGTGCTTAATGCAGGAAAATATTTTTTTTTCACTTTTTTAGAAACAGCAAAAGAGTTGTCAACAAGCCATGTCAACTATCTAAACAATTTTTATGGAAACTGCTCTAGCTAGCTTAAAGTTCCACAACGTTTCCGGAGCACCGTACCCAAACTCAGTTCATGTTACAAGAAAAAACAGTAATAATTCCTCCTAATTTTGAATGAAATATAGGTATGAGTAATTTGATTTGGAAAGCAACAAATTTCCGCACATCATTTTAGCAAAATTACTATTTTCTTCAGCCATCAGGTTACACAAAACTATAGTAAACTTTATGATCTAGTTTACACAAAACCAAAGCCCCGATTTTAACAAATGTAGATTAAATTTAAACAATTTAAAAAAATGTATCGTGGAGAAAATGAAAAGTGTAGATTTGTAAAGCCGGGATATTTCACGGATTAGGCACTTAAAGAAATATCTTCACTTTTCTTTGAGCCACCAGCCTTCACCCAAGTTTTACACGAATGTAGTGAAGCAGACAATGTGGCAACTCAAAATTGTGATGGTTTGAGATAATTATGACGGTAAAAGAAAAAGCAACACAAGGTTCCTTACCCTCGTTTTTTCACATGGGTTCAGATGAGGCTTCAACTGTTGCCGACCTGAGGAGCTATAGGGACTTGAGCTTTCCAAAACTCAATTTCTAAGGGCACTGAGCAGTGTTTGGCTTTCACACGAATGCGATAGTAAGTTATATGAAGTTGACAAAGCAAGCAAAGCAAAGCATGATGCCCCGCGCGTCCGCCCGCGACCACGCCCCGCGTCCGACTCCCGACCGCCGCGTGACCCGAGGCGCCCGGCGGTCACGTGACCTACCGGCCGGGACTGCAAACGGCCTTCACCACCATTCTTGTATGACGTCATACCCTACTGAGGTGCTGATTGGTCGGAATTAGATACCTGAAGGTAATTATCTGCCGTAGTTATTTTTGTTTCATTGTTTTGCGTGTTTTCTTATATGAAATGTAATTAAAAAATTTGCCATATTTTAATCACCATTAAAACATAACTGAATAGGTATGAAAGAGAACTCGATATATACTTTCCTTGTTTTTAAGAATTCCGGAATTAGATACCCGAGGGAGCAAAGAGGGAGCAAGTTGCCACGCTGATTTGATACCTCATAGTCGAAAGGTGGGCTACTAGAACCGAAAATTGCTGTGTTTGTAAATAAATAAGTGATTTGAGGGCAAAGAATGCCCGGATTTAAACTTCTAAAACTATTTTGAACATAAAATATTTCAGTTTGAGGGATGTTAAGGCCTCAAAGAGTAGGTACTTTTCAGGTATCAAATAAGTTCCTCTGCGAAAGGTCCGTCGTGAAAACGGCTAATATGGATACGCGTTTTTCATATTTTTTTCAACATTCTAATGATTCGTTCGTGATTCTTTAGATTATTTTGTCGACGAATATGACACATGGCGGTCGGGTTTGCGATGTGATTACTTGTCATGTTAACCATAATTTGAGTTATTGCATTATCAATAATAGTTATCATTTGTTATCATCATTGTTATTTTTACCGTTATTTTGGTGACTTTATTTTTATTTATTGATGTGTTATATGTTTTTTGCACTTTTAGCATTTTCATTGTTGTTTTCGAAATGAATTTTATTTATTTAATCAGTATATTGTTTTATTTTTGCATGTGTTTTCACATATCCTCCGTACTGATCTCAATGTACCCATATTTAAACATTTATTTAAAACTGTGTGTGTGAGTGACGTGTTGTTTGTATTCGTGTTCGTATCCCGGTATGTGAGGCGACGCAAGCCGCTGCTCACGGGGGCCGGGTGAGTGCAATCTAGTCATTAGGTTAAGACGGTGTGGTGCGAACACAAGCGCACATCCACCGGGTGGGGGGTTGAGATTGTGTGAGTGTGTATTGCATTGGTCGTGTGCAAGAGAATCGTGAGATGTGCGTACTGCATATAGTCTGTCGGTAATAACGGGCTAGCGGTTTGTCTATATGATGTATTCGTAAAATTTTTCTTTAAAGCACTTACTAGGCTTCCAAAGGATTGTCATGAGTTGGGGATTATAGTGCACCTCGTCTTCCTTCCAATAAATCGCATGATTTGTCATCGATTGCACAGTTAAGACGGACTTAAAAACTTAGAACCCGGTTTTGTATGTAAATTAAGGCTCAGACGTGGTTGTAAATGTCATTCGATTTACTTCAATCACATTTCTATGTTGATTAACCCAAGCGTACATCAAATCTGGTGGTACAATATTGTGCGCCATGTGATTGTGATGCAGTTAACCCGCGCCCCACTGGGGGGGGGGGCTATTTATAGCCCCCCCTCCCGTTTTTCTGCAATAACTTCCAAACCGCTTGACGAATCAACGCCAAACTTTCAGTACCTTCGGCTGCATCAATTTAACACCTTGTGTCAAAATTTGAACTTCGTAGCTACCATAGGTCGGCCGGAAATGACGTCAGAGTGACGTCATGTTCGTCCGATTTCGACGCAAAACATTGAACCACGGCAATCGCTCCCAAGAGCTCAGTTTTTAAGCTAGATCCAATTTCTTTGCATGAAAGGACTCAGAATTGACCGCGCTATCAAACTGCTATCTCGGATTTTCAAAATTTTGAAAATTTCGAAAATTTTATATAATAATATTCAAAATTTATATTTTTATATTTTTTTCAAAAAGTTTTTGACTTTTCGAAAAAACCGGAATATATGTGACAGAACGCATGATTATGACTAACTCTAGCAAGTTTTAGCTAAATATCTTCAAAAATGGCCAAGTTATACGCATTATTGCAAAAAATTCACAATTATTAAGTTTTCAAATCAATTTTTCAGTACGTATTTCGCATCGTACACCAATATAAATAGCACCATCGTGTTCCTGAGCTCAAACTCCATCCAATAGACAACTTTTTTGTTGAAAAATTTCAACTTCAAAATTTGACCTTTTTTGACCTGAAAGTGACCTGACCTAAGCTAATTTCGACTCAAAATGACCTTGAATGACACAGACGACATCAAATTCGAAATCTATGGCCTAAATGGACCATAAAACATGTGTCACGTGACCGACGCATGATATATTATTTTCGTGACCTGTGATGACCTGACCCTGACCTGAAAATCAAAGTACAAGTTTGGTACCCTCAAGGTATCTAGAGCATCTGTTCACGAGTGTGGAAACCAAAAATGAGCCTGATCTGACTTGTAAGACGGCGGCCAGAGCCCAAAATGTGAACAAGCCAAAGTGCTAATAATTTTTACTTTGACCTGACCTGTGACGTCATCGGTGACCTCGAGGTCAATGAAATTAGGTTTCGCTCGACAGTTTTTCCGGGGCTATCAGACGCCGTTTGAATTTTGACGATCGGCCCAGTAGTTTCGGAGTTAGGAGGGGGGGCTATGAATAGCCCCCCCCCCCCAGTAGGGCGTGTTATACACAGACCCCAGTGGGGCGCGGGTTAACGGCAGTAGTTTTGTCAAACACCCGGCGTTTGAGCATGCGTTGACCGCCGGTTCATCGTCGGCCCGATGATTTAAGATGACCGCACGGAATAAAATGTGATGGCGCTAGCTCCGAGTTTATGCGTATATTGGTGTACCCAGCCCGTTGTGCGTGAGCATACCGAATTGTGTAACTGTGGATTGTGCATATTTGGGTGTGAGTGTTAAAACCAGACGATAGTGATGTGAATATCTACGAGCGTGTGTAATCTCGTGTAAGGAACATGTATGCGTGTTCTCCGCATCAGCAGCACGGTGTAATGTTACCACACTATTTTCCGGTGTAGTCGAGCGGTCGTCGCCGCGGCGCTAGTCGTGATAGAACAGCATTATAGTGCGAGTCCAGTATGTCGCCTCGTGTTAATGCCTACCATGTGTGTAGCCCACGCTGTCGTCTGTTATATATCCCATGTTTGTTCGGATCTTCGACTCCGGAGTGCGAGTTAGCGAGTGGTGAGTGAGTGGTAACGCTCGTCAGTTCGCGGTCTCTCCTAGAGGGGCCGGCTTAGACCAATAAAGTGGCGGCGCGGTGAGCGAGTGAGCGCGAGTTTCGTTCTGTAGTGATGTGGACTGCTGCGTTCCCCCTCGATTGTCTGTGTCTGTTCGGTCGGTGTCGCGCTGCGTTGCGCGCCGCCCCGACCCTGGATGGTATTGCGGAACGTCGCTGCATATCCCCGTGAATATGACGTGCCATATAACCTACCCGGGACGGCCGCCGCCGCCGCCGCGCCTCCGCGGGGGGGCTGTAGTCATTCCGTTCTCGTCAACACAATACTAATAAATGTACAGATGTGGACGGGGTGTTACACTGAGTAGACTGGCGCGCAGATCGGCGAATTGTGGCTTATCTAGAGGCGATTTGGACACACTTATTATGTGCGTTAAAAGACGCCTATACATATTTTTATCTACGAGTACAGGAAAAGGACAAAGAATCGTAATTTCCTGTAAAAACTGATATTTATATCCCGTGTATTAGTGCAACTCCGAAAACAAACAGCAAACATCGATTAGGTTAGGAACAATAAGTCAAATGAGTGTGATTGCGATTTTTTGCGATTTTTTAGTCAAATGAGTCAACTTAGCGAAGTAATACAGCATGCAGAATATTCAAAAGTAAGCGTCATTTGCTACTGCAGAAAGCGTAGGTATCTACAAGTACAGTTATGCTTACAATAAAGCAAAGCCCACCTCTGAAGCATCCAAATCATAATTTTCAAGCGCACACACTGAACACCTCAACAACGATCTGTGCGCACTGCGCAGGCTGTTTCACACTTCTCAAGCGCATTTTATGATTAAAACAACAAAGACGACACTCACGGGCGCTCCTCTCAGTAACCACAATAACAACCCGGCCAACGTTTTCAAATGTCAAACATTTACTATTCAGCTCACCACCGCATGCGAACAACAAAGTGCTCGTGGAAGACATGTGCAATGTGCAGCGCTGTAAGGAATAGTGACAGCAGCAGCAGCAGCAATACTGCGGAATGGTGCAGATCAAACAATATGATAGAAGAGGAGCAATATAACCCACTTAATTGCGCATATACACTATACAGTAGCTGAGCTAAGATCAAATAAGATACAAAGTACGTTCTGTCACTAACGTTAATGATTGCGTGAGCAAAGATTGAGTTCCAAAAGTACAAACAGTGCTCTTTAAGCATGTGAATATCAGTCAAACCTTGCGTGATTCACATGACTTTTAATGGCAAACGTTTAGAATGTGCCATTTAGAAGTACTGTACTCATCACTAATATGTTTTTAGAGTTTGTTAGGTTGTCAGCTGTAAGCAATAGAACAACACATACCAGCAGGAGAGACTAAGTACCACGTCACAACAAACATAAACTAACATATGAACATCGAAGTAACCCCTGCGCTACCTTTCCTTTTCAGCAAATTCCCCCACCGCATGACTGAAGACATTCCCTGTGATATGCCTGGCCTAGGGCACCTATTGCAAACCTATGCTCGGTAGCAATAAAGTGGTGAAAAGAATTTACATTCGCTCTACAGGCGCAGTGCTTTGATAGACTTTGCAATCGTCATCAACAAAATCAGTTGCAATTTATCATGCACAATATCTGGCTCGGCTCCTGAGCTACAAGAGTCATTATCGAAATGTTATGGCAGTGCAAAGAAACTAAGCCCTCATGAAGGGCAGAACTATTTGTAAAATAACCTTAGCCTGAACTATTGATACCCACGTGAGAAGCACGTGAATAAAATCACCCTCTAATAACTCAAGTCTCGTACTCCTAAACAAGGACTGTCTGCCGCTTCACTGAACCTATCACTGACAGAGTATGACCACGCCTCACTCCATGGTGTCGTAGTTGAACTTCTTGACCTTGAAGTGTCTCCAGACGGCATAGCCAGCGATGGTCAGTACGGTGACGGTGGCGAGGGTCGAGCCGACGGCCAGCGGCACGGTCTCGTTGATACGGCGCCGGCCGACGGGTACGCCGGGGCAGTTCACCGCTGACGGAATGAGAAAGCAGGAACGTATTTAATAATCTGAAGTTCTTTTAGGATGGCCTCACAAAAAAGAAACGTAAACATTATTATAATGACATTTGGGTGATATCCCATTCCACGCCGGCAGCCCACGATGCGCTAGTCAGAGTTAGGTCTTGCGGTACAGCATATCACTTCAGGCGTTGACGAGTAGTGCCATCTAGCGGCAGCTATGTAAGTTTGCCTGTTCTAAACGCTGCATCACCCATGCTAAAAGGAAAAAACGGAGTGGAAACGAGTAAGCTTGAAATGAGAGACAGACATCGTTTATTTTATTCTCTGTGTAGTGAAACAGAATACATTTTTTAAATGCCGTCTCTAGTGATTATCGTGTACTCACAGGCCCCGAACTGTCCGTTGCGCACGTAGGGTTGCAGGTGCAGGTCCCACAGGATCACGCTGGCAGAGCGGACGCCGTCACCGTTGTACAAATCGAGGTCCTGTTTGGAGGTACAGAAGTACGCCTTGTCCACGGGCGTGCCGAAAAGGTGGAGCGTGTGGAGCATCTGGCGGTCCATCCAGAGCATCTGACGGCCGACTCCTGTGGAGGGGAGGAAGGGAGAGGGGTTAGTGGAACGGGGAGAGTGTCTGATGACCCACTCCTTTGAGGAGGGAGAGGGGAGAAGGTTGATTAGTGGAACGTGTGAAACATTGACATCAACTTCAAGTCGTCGTAAGCGGAATCAATAGCGTGTGCAATATGCGTAATGCACATATAGCGCGATAACTCACTTGGTTTTGCCTCGGGAAACTGGTCGGCGTCGTACTCCAGTTTCATGTCACTGACGTACCACGTGTTGCCGATGTCATTCTGAGAACAAAGGAAAAAATAACCATCACCGTATACTATCCAGGGCAGCGAATATCAAGATGCGAATTAAAGTTATAAGCATTATGTATAAAATGATACATGAGCCAGGAAGCAATGCATTCGAAGAATGCCTTTCAACTGACCATGAATACTGCTCATACGAATGCGCTTTTTTCCAAAGCAGGTAACAAGTTCACCACTCAAGATCGACCCAAATGTAAGCCACTTAAAACAGCCACCAAGCTGAATGCCTGACCTCTTTGAAGAACATGCTGAACTCGAAGTGGTCCCAGCGCAGGCTGATCACCGGCTCGGCGTTGTCGCGGGCACACGCGCCCGTTACCTCGGCGTCATCAGGCAGACGAACAGTGAGTTTCTGAGGCAGAAATGTATGACGTAAAAAAAGTATCATGATAAGTGGGTATACGATACTTGCAGAGTAGGTATGTACGTGAAATATGGACATTGTTTTATCTGTTAGTTTTTTGTGTGACGGAAACTGAAACGATTTATTTTCAACATTAAAGTTGATCTTGCTTCTATCTATAGCAAACTAACTTATATCACACTACGTACTTCAGGCATAAGAAAACATTACATAACTAACCTTTCGTTCGTCGTACTCTGTGTAGTAGACAATCTCCAGGTCTGCGTTGATGGTGGCCAGGATGCAGATCCGTCCGTGGTGGTCGAACACGGCGTACGCGTTGTCTGGTACCGGCTGGTAGGTTACCACCTCTACAGAAAATAAGTCAAGGTCAAAGTGTCTGTACCGATATCTTATATGGGATGAGCTGAACATGAACGAGATTTTTAGGTGCTGTGAAAGTGATTTTTCCAGCTCGTGAAAATGTTTAGAATAAAGGCTACAACAGACGTCGACTCAGAACCGAAACAGTACCTGGTGTGGTTGTGGTTTCCTTTGCCGCATTCTTGTTTGTCTGAAATAAGACATCAAAAATCCTAAGTTTCATATTGAAACAAGAAGCACATCTCCATTTCCACAAGACCATTTCGAACGTACTTACATACACCACTGTGCATGTGCCTACTGCAAAAATTACATTAGATCAGTCTTCTTTTTATTTTCTTTAGAACAATCATTTATCAGTATAAGCCATAGAACAAAATATATGTTCAACCATGGGTCCTGACTCCTGAAGCCTCTTCATTTAGCATTTTCCACCCACACCGTTTAACTGGGATAATTTGTTAACCGCTGGAGGACGTTTCGCCTACCTGATCTGAGTCGATGACGCTCGGCTGGTCGACCTGCTGCGTCTGTGGCGCCATCTGACGGTTGGAAGATCCGGCGGGAACCTCATCTCCCTCCACTCCCTGGTCTTCAGTTGGCGCCTCAGGCTGACGAGAGGAGAGGTCAAAAGTTATTTTACACTACAGACTATATATCGAGGAGCTGGGTAAATGTTAGCCAAGGGCATGCTTCGCCACCTCCTAGACGGAGAGATACGGGCTTGCATAACTCTAAAAACGATAAATATCTTGCGATGAATGTCAAAACAAGATAAGTGCACTGGAACACCGATCATGAACCTATCGAATACTTACCTTGGATTCTTGAGGCGTTTTATCTGGTGTCTCCTCTCGCTCGGGCTCCGTTTCTGGCTGCGGCTCCTGTCCCTGCTCTGGGTCCTGTTTCGGTTCCTGTTGTTGTTCCTGTTGTTGACCCGCCACCTTCTCTGTCTCCTTCTCGGTGTCTCCGTTCACCAGTATCCCCGGTTTAGCTGTCGGAGCTCTGTCCAGACTGCCAGACTGTGAGCCAGGCGCAGGGGCTGGTGGCTGCACTGTGGTCCTGAGATGACCGTGCCGCTCCATAAACCGCCGCTCCTGCCTCTCAGTCTTGCGCTCTAGGGCTGGGAGCTTCACGGCCTGGGCCGCTATGGCCATCAGAGACAGTAGCAGCAGTGCGTCTGGAACAAATTCGAAGAGAGAGGGTCACAATCAGCCGGAACCTCACTCAACGAGGCGAACATCTTTTTCGGGGGTTGTATGTGGGGGATCCCGATGAAAGGAAATACCTGACAGGCTACAAAGGGGAAGTCTTTGTCTGCATAAAATAAGTGCATAAGTCTTTGTCTGCATAAGGCTATCTCATAAGTTCCATAAACAAAATAAATTCATTCGTAAATTCTACAGTGTTCTTGATACAAACGTGGAGTTTGTAGCCACGTAGAACTTTGGTGACCATTCCGCCATTGACCGTTCGTCGTTACTACCCAAAACCCGCCTCACAAAACACCATTCCGGTCACACAATACCCATTCCAGTGCGCAGTTGGCCGTTTGCCTGGCGCCATCGAGAGCCGCTCGATGTTGCCGACACTGCAGACTGTAATTGCAAGGATCGATGGTTCGTGACGTCCGGCGGCCCAGACGGCCGGTCCAGCCAGCCAGACAGCCAGAGAAGCCTGCTACGTAGGAGACATTCGAGCCAACAGACAATGGTGGCGGTCTGACTCTCATAAGTGCTCCTCGCTCAGAATATGGGGAGATGATGGTTGTGCCACGTAACCGGTGTAGAATGACAATTACGGTAGATACAAGAGACGAGTAAACAGTGCGCACGGCGCAATACAATAACAAACGGATATCGTAATGAGCATCGGCCGGGGATCCATTTGTAATCGGCACATTTATTTAACTAATTTATGGGCTGAGGTAAATAAAGAAACGAGAGTTGCCGTAATGCTCTCACCGAGCAAAACAAAATAATTGTTCAGGGGCTGTCAGAACCGAGCTAGAAAAACATTCGAAACGTACGTAAACATGACATAAAATAGGTGGAGAGGATATTTATTTCAATGCTAATTCATTAGCAACCATCTTCTACTCGGAGGGCGTTTTACGTATCTTGCTTATCTTGAACGGCTATGAGCGTGTTAGGTATACTTTGAGCGACTGGAGCGGTAAATAAGATATGTTGTTTTCAATGATAATCCTCTTTTCCCAAATGTTCAGTTACCTAAGTTTACCGTCAAAACTATTGGTACTGCACGGAGTGTTTGTTTGGCATTGCATACTGCAATACCATGGGAGCCTCCAGCCTGCGCGACGCGCGTTGTGAGGTAAATAAAAAACCGCCGATGAGCAGAGTCGAAACGTTAGTTGACATTCAAGCCGGACTGTGCGGAAGAAGACCATTCAGAGCAATAAATGCTCAGCTCTATTTATAGTTGATTTCAGTGAGTAGCGATTCCGTGACGGGCGCCCGCTACTGCGAGCGTATGCTGCGATTTCCTGTCCCTAGATGGCAGCAGCAGTTAGCGCCTGCGAATGTAGGCTGTGCCGCACGGCACATCGCGAGCCCCAAGTTCGTCTGATCTGTATAATGTGTGCGTCAGAGAAACGAGATGAGAAGATTGCCACAGCTGCTCAGTTAGGCTGATTCTGACCTTCAATAATAAATGACCTGGTATTTGGTAATAAATTGAGCATACCTTTTGTTTTGTTTTGTGTTTGTAGGAAACATCAAATGCAAAAAAAAAAATACAAAGAAGCACCTAACCGAGTAACATTCGACCCACATTCATACACTCGAATTTCTGTCATGATGCCAGTAAGCGCAGCAATATCGGATTCCACGTCTAGTGTCTACTTTAGACCAACTAAGACATTAGACATACTATTATTCCGAGCACACACGGCCTCCACTCACCTCTAACTGCCATGGCTGCGTCTCTTCGTCTTTGCCCTCTCCCTGTATAATGCGGCTAACGGAGCGCAGGACTCGCGCAAAACGGCATCGATTGCGACGCTGCGCGCGACGCCGGAGAGCCAGCTGACTCGAGTCGATGGCTCCGATCGAAGGAACTCCAGAAGCTCCGCCCCAGAAGGCGGGTCACACCGACTGGAGGCGACGTCACTATAGTGATGACGTCATCCGTGAGGCGCCTCAACAACACACAGACAACCGGGATGAATGGCTTTAGGAAGTGTGTCCTCGACTCCTCACCATAACAGGCGGAGTATCTGTTACCAACGTTGAGATAGCAGGAGAGGATCTTCCCAGTCCCCCCCCCCCCCCCCCGAATGTGGACGTCTTGAAAAACGCTCCCCGAAGGCTCATGTGAAGACTGGGACTGAGTAGCGAGTACTGACGTGCTATTTTATCACTTAAAAGTAGTTGATAGTCCCTCGTAGCCACATGTGTTGACCTTGAACGCCGGCAAACTAAGACTACAGGATTACATCGTTCTCGATTATCATCCAGGAGTTTGTACAAAACGATGATGAGTTATGAATGTCTGGGCTAGGTTGGCAGGATAAGACTATAAATGGTAAGCACTAAGCAATGAACATGAAAATTTTGTATAAAAAAACTATATCAATATCTCCTACGATAAGTCGATAGAAGTCAGCAAAACCTTGGCTGGTCTTCAATTTTGAACCCACTGAACACGCATCGAACCTGGCCGTCTTACCACACTCGCGTTTCGGCTTCCTGGCATATTTATTAGAGGTCTAATGACAACAACAGCGGAACAGGGGCCATGCAGAGGCCGGGACTCGCAACTACCGACAACAGACCGCGGTGCGAGCTGACGGGCGCTCAACCAATCACAGAGCGGCCCGCACTGCCGGCAGTCTCGCCAACACATACTGAACAGATCACCAGAGGCCGCTCTCCTAAACCGGAGGGCCACAACGTCTGAACGGAGCGGCGCGCAGGCGGGTCTCCCCTTCCGCTGCCGAACTGGAACAAAACAAGGCCTGCGAATAGGCAGGCGCACCAGAAATTGACAAAAACGTGGAGTGTAAACATGCTGTCGCGCAAAAGGCACAGAGCACAACTACAAAAAAGGTTTATAGCAAACACGAAAAAAACAATGAAGTCAAAATATGCTCACGACCGGCTTACAATTCAGACTGAATACATAGCCAACGCAAATATTCGTGGGACGCACTCTGAGGACATTATCGCGTTTGATTTACCAGGCATGTCACGGCACCTATAAAACCATTTCGACGTTTTAACGCACTGAAGAAGATTGACATAGACTAGTATCGCAGACATGTGTTTAACTTTACGCTTCCAGCGACCACCGAGGGGACAGACCGACGATAAGCAGTGAGTCTCAGGGGGCGCTGCCGCGAGTGTGCACCACTGAAGCTGAGTGGGCGGGGCACTGCTGGGCTCCCATCACGCCTCCGTGCCATGGTACCACCTCAGTGCAGCGTCGTCGCCACCTCTTACATACACAGCTCGCGTCCAGTGCGTCACTCGCCCGCCACGCATCAGTTCATGTCGCGCAGCTCCAGCAGTCGGTGCGACGCCACGCGGCGGCGCGAGCGGCACAGCGGCGCAGTTTGATCTGACGATAATCTCGTTAAAGCTGCGCGTCGTCGCCTCAGTCACGGCGGCAAGTCCTGTACATCAGCCTCCTCTGTCATCAGATCATGTTCGCACGCAATCCGACGGTGACCGAGCTGTAACTGTCAGCTCGTCGCCATACACGGCTGTCTCTTCGCACAGAGACTTAGCGCTAGCTGGGCGCCCGTTGGTCCGCCGGCGACCAATCTGCCGCGGGGACCGACAGCTCAGTCTACTGAATCTCGACCGTCTGGGGCTCACCGCTCTGTGGCAGCTACCATCCGCTCGATGAGGGTGATGCCGCCCGGCTTTAACAACGCAGTTTACTTGTTGGAGGTGGTGTCCCCGGCGGAGGAAGATTTGCCACAGGACTGGGAGTCGTCTTGTTCAGCGCCCTCCAGCTCAGTCTCATTTTCCTCCAGCAGGGGTTCACCTGACAGAGAAAAACACACGTTAGCGTGGCAATATCACACAGAAAAGAAAACATGAGAAACAGTATAAGCTCACGAGTAGCCACATATTCTATCTCGTAAATGGTAGCTTGATGTGTCAAGTTAGGATGTTGCATGAATTCATAAGTCAGTTTCAGCTTGCAACGGTACATAAAACAGTTACAGGGCGTCAATTTACTATTTAGTAGAAGCGCAACTGGCTCTCAATTAATAAAAAAAAAAACAGTCAGACACAGAATCAGGTTACCATTAGCAAACGCCACAAATATATAGTAAGTTAAATTGCATCAATTCATTTTCAACTGGGAAGGTCATAGCTACATGGCTACATACATGGTAGCAGACAGGTTCAAGCTAGCAGAAAAAGTGAATGTAACAGCTATCTTGGTAAGAAATTAACCCGCTCTGGTTGTAAAGCAGCATAAATGGTTTTCCCCTACATCGCTATAATTACCGCATCAAACACTTAAAGTGCGCCTTTAAAAAAGTAACGATAATATTTTTCAACATTTTCAACCATCAAGTGCTACCTGGCTTTTATATGTTTTGCCAATATTTCGGTTCGGTTTATATCAAATGATTGTTTAACCCGCGCCCTGGTGGGGTCTGTTTATAACGCGCCAGTTCGGAGCACACTGCCGCCGTCTGAGAAGACGAGTCCGCCCCCGCGTCGCCCACCTGAGACGCCTAGCCGGCCGCAGCTGGGGGCTGGACGAACAGGCTCTAAGAACAGTCGCCAACGGATATGTTCGGGGGGCTCTGGAGCACGCTGCCGCTGCATGGCTGCCCGCAACCGCGCCATCTCACGCCGAGCTCATTGAGCGCGAGATGAGGGCGGCCGCGCGGATCGTCACCGGATGCCCCCGCTCCACGCCGACACACGCGGTGATGGCGGAGGCGAGGCTGGCCCCCATGGAGGAGCGGAAGAAAGTCCTCGCCGCTCGGCTACTGGGTCGTGCCCTGGCGTTACCGCCGACCGACCCCCTGCGCAGGACAGCTGAGGCCTCGGCGCCCTCGAGGCTGTCTTCTGTGCGGGGGTGGCGAACGCTGGGCCGCCAGATGCTGGCTGAGGTGGAGGTCACCGCACCGATCGAGCCGGTGCTGCCTCCTCGCATCCCGCCGTGGGAGCGCGGAGGAAACGTCACCTTCTGCCTGGACGTGGGGCCACTACGAACCGGTGCGACAGAAGGAGAGAAGATACGGGCTGCCACCCGTCATCTTGCCGCTCTACCACAGAGAGCAACCTGGTTGTGGACGGACGGCTCCGTGGAGGGTGGCGTCAAGGACGGAGGCTCTGGAGCAGTAGTCATCTGGTCGGACGGAGAGGAGGAAGACCTGAAGACACCGGCCGGACGACACTGCTCCAGCTACCGAGCAGAGATGCTCGCCCTGGCGTCCGGGCTTGAGCACCTGCTCGACAATCCACGAGACCGCGACATCCCCATCGTGATCTGCACGGACAGTATGGCCTCCCTGGCTACCCTCCGGGCGGGGCCTACCGCGCAGACGTCACCGCTAGGCGTCAGGATCTGGCGGGCGTTCTCGCGGCTGTCCCGGGAGGGTCACCGCCCGATTCACGCTCAGTGGGTGCCTTCCCACTGCGGGATCGAAGGCAACGAGCGGGCAGACGCCATAGCAAAGGAAGCGGCGGAGCTACCACAGGAGGACATCCCCGTCGACTCCAGGACCATCTGCCGAGCAGTAGCCAGAGCCGCCAGAGAGGCTACTATCAAGAACTGGCCAGCCGGGTGGTTCCGGTCCGTGACGGGCGACCGCCTACCGCCCCGAGTTACCGGCTTGGAGCGGTCCAGCGCGGTGGATGTCCACCAGCTGAGGGCCGGGCACTGGTCTGGTGCCCGGTCCTACCTGCACAGAATCGGTCGCTCCCCGTCTCCGATCCCAGGCGGATGCCAGGGGTGCAACAGAGATGACTGCAGAGAGTCCTGGTGCCCCCTGTGCCGGGAGGAGCCGGACAGGCCGGACCATGTCCTCCTCCGCTGCCCCGCCCTGATGGGGACGAGATCAAGGACGTGCTACACCATCCACCCGGAACCGGAGGAGGTCCGGGAGACCGCCGTGGTGGCGGCCCTGGCGGCGGCCGCCAGAGGCGCCCAGAGCCGACAGGCTACACTTCATTAGAAGCGGAGGGAAGAACAACAACAACAACAACCTGGTGGGGGGGGGCTATTTTTTGCCCCCCCCCCCTCGTATCTCCGAAACTACTGGACGGATCCGCAAAATTCAAACGGCGTTCGAAAGGCCTGTCAAATTTGTCGAGGGAAACCAAATTTCATTGACCTCGGGGTCACCGATGACGTCACAGGTCAGGTCAAAGATGAAATGTTTCACCGTTCACGGGTCATCTAGGGAATGCGCTATAACACCGAAGAAAACGCATTTTGTCGAGAATCAGCGATAGGGCGTCAGTTGCCTAGTACATATATTGCTATAAGAGGTCACTGACATTACCAGGTCAGGTCACAGGTCAGGTCACCAAGGGTCACAGGTCAGGTCACATGAACCTAACTAGGTACTAAGGTTGTGCGATGCATGTTTTATGGCCAATTTTTCATTTCCAACTCAATGGTGTTGGTTATAAGACTATCAGGTACGGCTTAGGCCGCTTTCTGGTGGAGGTCAGGTCAAGGTCAGGTCAAAAAAGGTCAAATTTCAAAGTTGATATTTTTGCATAAAATGGGTATTGATTCGATGCAGCTCGTCACGGGGAGTCTAATGGTGGTCTTTGTTTTGCGCTACGAGGTCTAGAATTGCAAAAAAATTGAGTTTGAAAATTTGACGTCATCAATTTTGAACAGTTTTTTCGCTGTAACTTGGCCAAAAAAAGAGGTATCGATCTCAAATTTGGTATGTTGATAGAAGGCGGTAAGGACTATCACATATATTCCGGTTTTTTCGAAATTCAAAAAACTTTTTGGATTTTTCGGCTATTATAATCAAAAAATCTATTTTTTGATTTTTTGGGGGTCAAAATCCAAAAATTTCAAAAATTCGAGATAGCAGTTTTGTAGCCCTGTCGATTCTACAGCTTTT